AAGAGCGTAGGAAAGGAAATTCAGAGAAAAATAGAGATGTAAGACACTTGTGGGAAGTAGATCTGTTGACGAGGCTGTGTATAGTATTCTCAACTGGGCTGGACTGAGGTGTACATCATGCTTGGAAAAGTCTCTTACAATATAAATGATGTATAGAAATTGAATGTATGAATACTACTACTAATAAAAAATAAATAAAAATAAGTTATAGGAGATTGCAGATGATGTGGTGGTTAAGGCAGACCTCGCATCTTGCTTTCTCACCACCACCCCACCTGTGTCTCTCTCCGGTCAAAATTTTAAATATAATAAATAAAATTAAATAATTTTTAATAAGTGATAATGATAACTATATACAATCTTAGAAAATATAACTTAAGAGAATAAATAGTATCCATAATCATATGACACAGAAACAGTCATGGGCACAGGTTGCCTCTTTCTTAAAAGTTTACCCATTCATTTCTTCTGAGAGGATGGGAGGGATCACCCCCAATAGGATCTTTTTTTTTTTTTGGAGAGATTTTCACTGTAGGGCGCATGTGCTTGCCAGACAGACAGAGAGAGACATAGAGACAGAAAGCGAGAAATCACCCCCCAGGGGGGATGGTCACGCCGCAATCCCTTCTCCTCCACTCTCCTCTCGGGATCTTGGGCATGCACGCACACGCGCCCGGCGTGAGTTTTAAGCCACCGGGTCCGGGACACGAACCGCGGTCGACTACGTGGGAGTCCAGCGACATAGCCATTACGCTAACTGCTGGTTCCCCCCTCCAATAGGATCTTCATGCTGCAATCTTCCCCTGCCCCCAGCCAGCCTAGATCACCAGCATGTGCATGCCCATGTGTTCTGAGAGACACCCAGATGCAAACCTGGAGTCTTGCCCACGTGGGTCCAGCTATGTTATGCTGTTCTGCCACCTGGCCCTGTAGGAAGCAGTCAAATCTGCACTGATTTTATCTTTAAAGACAAGCGGAGCACAGACTCTCTCTCTTGGGCTGATGTTGCACAGCCGATGCCGTCTCAGCCAGAGAACGCCAGGTGGGGCTTACTTAGAACTATGGGGAGGCAAGATGCTCCACAGCTGCAGGTGATAAGAGAATACATCTGACTTTACTAACTTCTGCATCTCCCTCCCCCATTGCCCTATAAAAGAATCAACCTGGGAACGGCTCAGGGCATGGCATTCTCCATCAAAGACGCCCAGTCTGCCCCAGTCCCCACTTTTCTCTAATTGTTCTTCTGTCTCTGTGTTCATTCCAAAATCTACTGCTGCTCCTACTCTGGAGGGTTCCCTCCCCCTCGGTCCAGCAGGTCTCAGCACGGCTCCATGTTGTTCTTTTAGCGATGTGTGACCAGTGTGGTGGACAGGAGCCCAGTGACTCCTGAGCACCATGTACAAGTCCTGCAACTTTCAGCATCCCAAATGCTCACTGCATTGACACAAATGTAGCGGTGACTAACACAGAAATGGCCTCTGCAGGCTACTGGGCCTGCCCTTGGCAAAGTCACAAGCTTCCCTTTTGCTTTTTCACACACAAGGCTCTGCACAAAGGAAGGCAGCCCAGGAGGGCAGAGGCTGCATCTGTCCTGGGCGTTGGTGGGTGCCGCTGCTCCGCAGCACTCAGGACAGGAGGCACCCCGCTAACAGACACGCACTGCATAAATGCAGCATGGGCCAAGTATCCTTTAGCCAAAATGCTCGCAACCTTTGGATTTCAGAATTTTTGGATTCTGGAATATTTACACATACCTAATGAGATATCACTGGCACGTGACACAAGTCTAAACAAAATCCGTCTATGTTTCATATTCGTTCAGACACAGACTGAAGGCAATTTCAGATGACAGTTCCAAATTCCAACTTGGACTATGACTCATCACATGAGGTCACCTGTGGAATTTTCCACTGTGGCTTCAAGTCAGTGCTCATGAGGTTTCAGCATGTGGAGTATTTAGGATTTGGGATTTTCAGACTAGGGATACTCAGTCTGTACTAGAATTGAAGAAACAACAGGTAACATATTCCTCCCTAAAAACAGTCCCTCCACACCCAGCCAGACCTGTGCTTCTACCACATGACCCTTCTTCAATAACGAGTTCTTCATCTGGATGCACTCCAAACAACTGCCCATGCCAGATTAGTGTACTCATCCGAGTCGCAGTGGATTCCTGAGAGGGCTGTCTTGGGTGAGCTGCAGGCACATACGAGTATGGCGAGGCCTAGGCCTAGTGCACAGTGAACCTCATCCTACAGTGATGCCTCGTCCTAGCATGGCGCCACAGCCACGTGAGGGGTCGCAGGGAAATGCGGAGCGCAAGCACTAGACGCTGCTTTTGCAAATTCCTGTAATCAGTAACTATTTAGATTAAATAAAAAGCTTAAAAATATTACAAGGAAAGGGCAAGGAGGCGAAATCTGTGATTATGATCAGTATCAGTCATGGAAACAAGTACAGTAAAATGCAGGGCATCACACCTCAGTAGCTACACTATTTATATACATGCAGGCCAGTACTCAGGTTTTTTGGGGTTTTTTTGTTTTTTTTTAAGAGAGATTTTTGGTATAGGGTGCATGTGCTCGCCAGAAAGACAGAGAGAGATAGAAAGCGAGACATCCCCCCCGAGGGGGGATGGCTGCCATCCCTTCTCCTCCATTCTCCTCTTGGGATCTTGGGCACACACACACACACCTGGCATGAGTTGAAGCCACTGGGTCCAGGACCTGAACCACGGTCGACTACATGGGAGTCCAGCAACATAGCCATTATGCCAATTGCTGGTCCTCCGTATTCATTTTTAAAAATGATTATTTCGGGAACCAGCAGTTAGCGTAATGGCTATGTCGCTGGCTCCCACGTAGTTGACCATGGTTCGCGTACCAGACCTGGTGGCTTAAAACTCACGCTGGGCACGTATGTGTACGTGCCCAAGATCCCGAGAAGAGAATGGAGAAGGGATTGTGGCGTGACCATCCTCCCTGGGGGGTGATTTCTCACTTTCTGTCTTTATGTCTATCTCTGTCTGTCTGGTGAGCGCACGCGCCCTATAGCAAAAATCTCTCCAAAAAAAAAAAAAAAAAAAGATTATTTCAATATTAGTGAAGGAATCCAAATCGGGCCTCCAGGGAATAAATATCTTGGTTTTGTCAAAAACTCAGCTAGAAACACCATTTGTTCAACATTTCACTCCTAGTTCTCTGTTCTTAAGCGAATGAGGAGAAGGAAGAACTCTCACTTCATGATGGACTGGAGCTTCCCGATCCCCTTTAAAGCATTTTGTATAAGCAGTATGTAAGTAGCTGGTACTTGAAGTTTACACATCATCTATTCTAACATAACTGGATGAGAAAAGTGTGGCTCAGAGCATCTCTTGGGATGACAATGGACACCCCATATGAAGGCCACATGCTACAGAACTCTTGAGGCCAAGTCTCGCCCTGTGAAGTCATGAAATTAGGCGACGGCAGAGCCAGGACTTGGAAAGACAAACCAACACCTCATCTGACACAGAAAGGCTGCAGCCATCTTTCCTCACACGCCCTGCTCCCAGACCAGGACATGCTCCCAGAGAACATGCAGCAAGGACAAACCTGGGCCACGGCCTGCAGTGGGGTGATCAAGCTGCTGTGCTTGATCTGAATGTCGGGAAGGTCGCCATGACGGTAGCTTCTGTACAGAATGACCTGCGCATCCTGCTTCATCTTTAACTCACTCTTGATCTCCTATGATCACAAAAACAAAGGAAGATAAGGATTCCCGTTTGAGAAAATCAGCTGTGCATGAGCAAGAAATCAGGCTCCCTCCGTACCAAGAAGTGATGGTGTTCTTCAGTTTAGTCACTACGTTTGGCCAGAGTATGATAGACTCACAATAAATCCACTATGGCAGAGAGCGGTGAGCAGGCTACTTACGGATTTGTTCATTAGCAACCTAGGGACGAGCACTGGGGACCAGTAGGTGGCGTAGGGTTAAGGTGATGGACTGTCTTGTAGACAACCATGGTTCGAGTACTGGAACAAGAGGCCTGAAACTCATACCAGACATGTGTGCATGCATGCCCAAAATCCCAACAGGAGAATGGAGAAGGAATCGCAATGTGGCCATCCCTTCTGGGGCATGATTTTTCACCTTTTATCTCTACATCTCTCTGGCGAGCACATATACTCAATAACAAAAATCTCTCTCAAAAAAAAAAAAAAAAAGAAAAGAAAGAAAAAGAAAAAAAGCAACCTGTAAGGGAAGGCAGGTGACACAGTGGTTAAGGTGCTGGACTCCCATGTAGCTGGCTACGGCATGAATTCTGGACCCAGCAGCTTGAAACTCATACCAGGAAAAAACACCTTGGTTTTGCCGAAGTCAGCTAGAAACATCATTCACTCAACATTTTACTTCTAGTTCTCTTAAGTGAATTGGAAGAACTCTGGCCTCACTGATGGACTGGAATTTCCTAATCCCCAAAAGCATGTGTGTCCCAAATCCCAGGAGGAGAATGGAGGAGAGGAGATTACAGAATGGCCATCCCCCTGCAGGGGGTGCTAGGGGGTGACTTCTTGTTGTCTGTCTCTCTGGCAAGCACACATGCCCTGTAGCAAAAATTTCTCAAAAAAGAAGAAGGAAAGCAGCAACCTGTATAGTCCTGTAGTCAGAACATACAACTTCAAAACATAGGTTGGAGAGTTGTGCTTCTTTTTCATTCCTCCAAGCAGCAGCCCTGGCTACAAGGCCCAGCATGGTGGTCACCCAGGACAGTCAGCCCTTCTGGGCTGCTCCCACCCAGCGGAGTTGTGAGAGTGCTGGTTTGGAGGGCGCCGGGGTCATACAGTGCTGCTTCTGTCACTGGAGTGCGCACCCGTCTGGACGCCAGCATCCGACAGGAGGCTCGTTTCCTTAGTGTGTATCTTCCATGTAAAACGGTTTTTCTGACCAACCAAATTTTTGAAAAAGATACAAACCTTTTCTCGTTTTTGTTCAGCAACACCTTTTCTGGCATATATCAAACTGAGCTTTTCTTGGTCCTTTAAAAATCGTCTGCGTAACCCCAGTATTTCCGCCCGACTGTCGGTTCCTGAGGAACATAAAGTGGATTTGGTTACAGACGGCCCACACGGTATGTGCCCAAGGCCTCGCCTCCTCCCCACACTCTAGGTGGAAGTGAGGGTACTGGAATGCCCTTACTGAGAGTGCCCACTTGTGTTCTCCTAAAGGCACGGTTATGAGCGATGGCCCAAAAGATGGGTGGGCAGCATGGGAGCTAGAGCAGGGGGAGGCGGGGTGAAGCAGCTCCCGCGGGAGCCTGGGAAGGCCGGTCACTGTCAGGACAGGACATTCCAGAAGAGGGAGGACAGGCGGCCGCAGAGGAAAATCACATTTTACTTTAAAAAAAAATTATTATTTATTTACTTATTCTTATATTTCCTATGCTCTTCCCCTCTTACACTGTGGAGAACGATATGGAGGTTCCTCAAAGACCTTCAAGTAGAACTACCATATGATCCAGCAATTCCACCCCTGGGTATCTACCCAAAGGACAGGAGAGCACTCAGTCGGAAAAGCAATTGCACATCTATATCCATTGCGCCTTTTTCACGACTGCTAAGACATGAAACCAACCCAAATGTCCACAAATAGATGAATGGATTAAAAAATTGTGGCACATATACTCCATGGGATACTATTCAGCCATAAAAAAACAACAAGGCCCTAGAATTTGATAGAAAGGGGACGGATGTGGAAGATCTGCTGCTGAGTGAAGCAAGTCAGGCTATGAAAGAGAGACACATTTCACCTCTTATCATCTTTAAGTTCTACATAGGGTCCCCCATCCTGCCTATGTCGTCCATGGCAACACACAGACAGGGAAGCACTGTAGAACAATCTGAGTCACAGCAAAGGACTGCCACCACCTTAGAGGTTTTCATTTATTTCTGCACCTCATCCCCTCCGGCATCCCCTGGGTGAGCAGCCCAGAGTTGGTCACAGTCACCACTGAAGAGCGGGATTACAGACAGTGCCCAGCAGCTCTTGCAGCAGTGCGTGGAAGCCTGGAGGGAAAGCCTGACTCACAGAAGGCCTGTGCTGTGCCTGTGGGTTTGAAGCTAGCAGACCGAGGGGGAGAGAGGTCTGAGAAGCTTTAGGAAGGGAGGCATCTTCCGTTTGGGCTTTGACGGACCAAGCGTGTAGCAGAGCCAGCTGAGTCAGGAGCTTAGAGAATGGTCAGGGTAGAGGCAAAAGAAGGTAAAGATTTTTGAGAAGCGGCTGAGTGGGGAGGTGTGTTCACGGCACTCCTCCCGTCTGAGGGCCCATCGCAGGAAGGGGTGAAATGCTCCTGTGCTGGAGAACGTGTACGGGCCCCAGATATGCAGAAAGTGCACAGCAGTTGGGAGAGAGGGAAGTGACTGCGTGTGTCTTAGCTCCTACAGTGAAACAGAAGGGGATTTACCCTTGCTCCTGACTCCACTCCTACACCTAAGTTATCATCTGGGTGGTGCCCAGGGTCCTGCCTGGAGCCCCTCCTCTCTGCGGTCTCCCCTGGGCTCTCAGTCCAAGGGCAGCAATTCTCCAAGAGAAACTACCACTTGCCCTCTCCCCAGCATCTGTCAGAGTCCCTCAGCCCTTGCAGCCCGCTCCCGACCCCCTCCCAGTGTTTGTGCTGCAATAGCCCAGGGTGAGTGCTTGGCCCCTGCCCACAGGCCTCCTCCCCACCCCCTCACCTGCCCAGAGCAGCCTCTCTCGGAAGCCTTCCTACCTGTCTCTACTCAGACCTGGGTGGTTGCTCCCTGTAGCTGGATCAAAGCACAGCCCGGCCCACGAGCCTGCTTCCAGGACATCACCACTGCTCCTGGAGCGGCCTGGAGCTCCCATTCTCCGGACCACACAAACTCACTGGTGAAACCCACACACTGAACTGACTGAGGCCCCTGGCCTTCCGAACACATTCCACACTCCATGTCTCTGTCCTCATCCCCTCCCTCCCAGCATCCTGAGTGTCCGCAGCTCCACTCAACACCCAGCTCCAGGCAAACACACATGGGAACTGTGCCCGGACAATATTCCCAGACATAAACTCGAGTGGGCTTATGGACAGACCACGAGGAAGCATGAGCACGGTCTGACCTCTCTCCCACGATGGACCTCACGCTGGTGTACACAGCAGGCTATTCCAGACACGTCCCAGCAACCTACTAACCTTGGCTTTTTCCATCCACCTCATCTCCTGGAAGGCCCAGTCTTTTTTTCCCAAAATCAGGACCCACTGACTTCAGTGGTGTTTTCTGTGCCTTTTCACTCCTCTTGTGAGCGAACAGCAAGGAGGACACAGCATCTGGTGACGAGGAACCCATGTAATCTGCCAGTACATCAACACTGCTCCCGGTCAGCCAATTAAACGTGCTTCTTCCATCTACGACAGGTAGGAGGGGCAGTCAGCAGGTGGGACCCACAGGGAACAGTGCCACACACCAGGCAGGCAGGCCTGTGAGGGCACAGCAGGCAGCCCTGGCACCTGAAGCCCCGCGTCCCCTGCTCAGCTGGGCACGGTGGTCATCACAGGACCGATAAGTAGTGTCTTCTGCAAGATGCCCAGAGCCATGATTTCTGACGTTAACTTCTAAAACTTCCACTGTAAATATTCAAACTAGTCCTAATGCTAGAATCAACAGGCCATACAAAATTATGTAACCAAAAAATGGAGAAGAGTCTGTATAAAATTAAACTATTTTGTTCTATAATTTGTACCTGTGGTCAAAAAACAGTTAATAGCTGAATAAATTACAAATATAGTAAATAAATTAGATTTAGTTCTACTATGCTTTGGAGATATTTTAAATTTGAGGTACTAAATAGATTTTTCTGACAAAAAAATACCTGTACTAAAACTTTCCCTGGTTTTCAGTCAGAAATAATCCTTTTCTCCTTTTTGAAAATGTAGTAATACCTACATAACATAAATGCAGCACCTCGACCACCGTCAGGTGAGCCACCGGGCAGCACTGAGCACTCAGGCGGCCTTCAGCACCGCTCACTCCTCCGACCATTTCCCTCCTGCACAACTGACACTCTGTATCCCAACTAGACAGACTCCATCGCTCCCCTCAACCACGGGTGGCCACCCTTCTACTTTCTGTCTCTGTCATTTTTTTTACCTTTTTTTTTTTTTTGGAGAGATTTTCGCTATAGGGCGCGTGCGCTTGCCAGACAGACAGAGAGAGACATAGAGACAGAAAGCGAGAAATCACCCCCCAGAGGGGATGGTCACGCCGCAATCCCTTCTCCTCCATTCTCCTCTCGGGATCTTGGGCATGCACGCACACGCGCCCGGCGTGAGTTTTAAGCCACCGGGTCCGGGAGGTGAACCACGGTCGACTACGTGAGAGTCCAGCGACATAACCATTACACTAACTGCTGGTTCCCTGTCTGTAATTTTTTAACTGCCAATGGGTCAGAGAGAATGAGAGAGAGAGATGCCTCCAATGGGATTGGTCATGGTGAGATCCCTTCTCCTCCATATCTCCATCCTGCCTGGGCACCCCCACACAAGCGCAACCTGTTGGTCAAACTGCAGGCGCAAGACTCAAACCCTGGTTGCCCATATGGGATCCAGCCAGGCCGCGGGCTAACTCCCCTCCCTCAGGTCAGAGGGCCCTGGCACAGCAGAAGGCATTAAGTGCTGGGTACCTGCAGTTTGTGTAGGGGTGAAATTGTACTGCTGCTGGGTGGCCCTGACCTGCCCAGTCACCGGCCTATGCACTGAGAGGGACCCTTCCTGGGTTCGGGTCTGGAGAGTGCTCTGGGAGGCCTGGGTCTCAACAAACATTGGAGTGAGAACGGTGCTTCGGAAACGCCAGTCAGGATCGATGGTGTATTCCTGCGTGTGAGAACATTTCAGATGAAACAGTGTTCTTTCTTTAGCAACATGAAAATATTTTCACTTCAAACCCAATGGCACCATCGGCGGAATATATCCTGACTACGTATTTCTCTGTTGCAAGCAGCTCTAATTTGTAGTTTCAACTAAACAATGATTTGTCAAGTAGAAAAACTACTTATTATTAGAAGATAAAACCATTTTTCTATTCCTCAACATTGTGCAGGATAAAAGGCTTGATGTAAAACTCTGGCCTGGCACGGCGCAGCATGGCTGTGCCGGGCAAACAACTAGCTCTGCGAAGGGCCTGCCGGCGCCCGGCACAGAGATGGTGCGAGCACGGCAGCATGGCCACAGACGAGGCCCGCCCTCCTTCCAGGAGCACTCTGCACTGCGCAGATGGTCATGGCAGGAACAACTGCCCTGAGGAGGCACAGCCTCACACTGCCGCAAGGAAGGAGAGGGGGCAGGAGGACGGTCCCAAGGAAGGGAATCCGTGTGGCTACAGAGAGTGAGTGGGAGACAAGCGTGGATGCTCCAGAGAAGAATGTGGGGAGGTGCCGAGAAAGCTCCGAGAGCCAGATGGAATGCTCATGGGCTGACAAGCAGAGAAAGCCCAGGATGTCCGTCACTGTTACAGAGACAAGCAATTTACCTGGAATTCACATTCTGACAGAGGATGCTCAAATACGGGGTTTGGATAATCTGGGCTCATGCTAGTCATTTCAAGCAGAAAGTCTGTTGCCAAACTTAAAAAGTGCACTTCTATCTTAGGAGAATATAAAGAATTTAGTGCCAACAGTCGGTCCAAGGTATTTGCAGGTAACCTAGTTTCATGGCTCCAAAAATTTCGAATAATTAATCTGAAAAGCAGAGAGGAAAAAGGCATGTTGCTTAGACACAGACAAACAAGAGGGGAAAGGCACAGCGCCCAGCCAGGTGAAGCTCAGCAGGGGACACGCCACTCCAGACTGCAGGGAGACACCGGGGCGGCAGCACACTGCGATGCTGAGGCCCCATGGGAAGGCCCTGTGCACTATCCAAGGTCTGGTCAAGGCGCTAGACATACACGCGCCTTCGGTCTGGGCTGGCTGGGGCTCTGGGTGGGTCACGGCACGAAGACTCAGCTGGGGAGCCTTTCTCCACTGTATCTCGCTGTCTCCCACTCTCATGAACAAAACAAAGCTGAATTTATTCTGTCCCTGGGAAATGTTCAGTGATGAGTACATAAGGTGAACTATCTTGAAATTGAAGAATCACTTTAAGAAATTACATGTGAGACCAGAAGCCAGCAGATGGCATAATGGTTATGTCGATGGACTCCCACGTAGGTGACAGTACGAGTCCAGACCTGGCGGCTTAAAACTCACACCGGGCCCAAGATCCCAAGTAGAGAATGGAGGAGAACGGACTGCAGCATGGCCATCCCACCTGGGGGGTGATGTCTTGTTTTCTGTCTCTCTCTGTCTGGCAAGCACACAAAGACACATGCCCTATGGAAGAAAACTCTTGCAAAAAAAAAAAAAAAAAAGAAAGAAAGAAAAGAAATGAAATTATATATGAGACTGGGGCCAGCAGGTGGCGTGGTGATTATGACACTGGACTCTCACATGGCTAACCACAGTTTGAGTCCTGAAGCCTGCAGCCTGAAAGCCTTGCCGGGTACGTGTGTATGGGAACGTGCCCAAAATTCCAAGAAGAGAATGGAAGAGTAAGGATTGCAGCGTGCTGCTCACTTTCCCTCTCTTGGTCTTTCTCTGGCAAGAGCCCTATGGCAAAAACATTAAGAATTACATACAAGAAACAGAAAAAAAAAAAAAAAAAAAAAAGAGAGAAAAAATTACAGAAAAATGGAATTAGTGTATAAATCTATTTTGATGCAAAAAAACTTTGAAATCTATGCATAGAGGTTTCACGACACACACTTTCCAGGAACTTTTTGAAGACTCCATGTATAATCTTATGTTGTCTTGCCAAAACAATTCGTTTCAAAAATTACTGTCTTGGGACCAGCAGTTAGCGTAATGGCTATGTCGCGGGACTCCCACGTAGTCGACCGCAGTTCAAGTTCTGGACCCGGCAGCTTAAACTCACGCTGGGTGTGTGTGCGTGCGTGCCCAAGATCCCGAGAGGAGAATGGAGGAGAATGGATTGCAGCATGGCCATCCCCCCTGGGGGGTGATTTCTCACTTTCTGTCTCTCTGTCTCTCTCTGTCTTTCTGGCGAGTGCACGCGCCCTATAGCAAAAACCTCTCCAAAAAAAAAAAAAAAAAAAATTACTGTCTTAAAATATCTGAAGCCTAAGTTAATTAAACACCAGATTAGACTTTATAATTTGTAAATGTTTATGAAATCCAAGTGCAGGTTTTTTTCCCTCTTAAGCTTGTCCATTTATTTCTTCCATGAGCAAGAGAGGAGGAGAGTGTAGGCCCACAGGGTGTTGGCACTGGCACAGCCTCAGCCCTGCCAGCCCTGGGTCGTGGTCATGGGCAAGGATGTGCCCAGTGTACTAGGGCGGCCTCTGGTCTGCACCAGGGACCTTCTCCTGTGAGGCTGTCTCACAGAGCACACGTGACCATGTTCCCTCACGCGACTGTTAAGTCTGATGAATCTGATTTTTTTTAAAGACAGAGTCACACTGTCATGGTCTTGCCTCATCCTCCCAGCTGGAGCTGCAGGCATGTGCCACCCCCTTGGCTTTTACACAATCTTACTAAGTTGCCCAGGACAGCCGCAAGCTCGGGATCCTCCTGCCTCCCCACAATGCTGAAATCACAGGCCTATGCCAGTGAACCTGGCCCTCAGACTGGACCAGGAATCAAATCAAGGCCTTCTGGCGGCCCCAGCCTGCGAAGCACAGCCGAGGCAGCACATGCCACCAGGGTGTGGGGGTGCCATCACCACATTCTGAATGGAGGCAGGAGGAAAAAAGTGGCATGCAAAGTCATACAGAAGGCTCACTGTCCTTAGGGCCAGGCCTTGGTGACACATCCATACGGCGGGCAGGCATGTCAGAGCACAGCAGAGATCACTGAGAGTCCTGCCTACTTCTAAGGTTTCAAACACTGGTAACAGGTTACATGTGATCTCCACTCTTTGGCTAAATGAGAGCAGAATAATCGTCACTAGATTGTCTTTACATTCTGAAGCACAACCCCCTGAACTAGCAGAAAATACTTCATCTATGCTATTTCTTCGAGAGTTTTATTATGTCATTATTAATTTTTAGATTTTTGCCGTAGGGCATGTGCACTTGCTGCACAGACAGATAAAGACAGACAGATGGGGAGTGAGAAAGAACTCTCCACAATCCCTTCCTCTCCATTCTCCTCTCAGGGTTTTGCAAGCACACAAATGCACTCATCAAGAGTTTTATTCTGAAGACATCCATTGAAATGTTTAAGTCTTCATGATGTGGTTTAAAATAGTCATGGGACATGTAATGCTATTTCGGTCTACAGAGAACTGCATCCACACGGGGTCCCGTAAGACCACACTACAGAGCCCAGACGCACAGCGGGCTACTCCGTCAGGTGTGCGAAGTGCACTCTGCTGTCCACATCCGATGAAACTGCCTAAGTTCTCAGAACGTGCTCCTGTCGTTAAGTGACATACAACTACACAGTCTGACTAAACCTTATGAAATAACGAGACACCAGGAATGCAAAGACATTTCTAGAACTGCTGAGGAATACTCTGTGCTAGTCTAGAAAGCAATATCCCCAGGAGCTCATTGTCCAGGCCCAGTCGCCCCAGGAAGAGCACATACTGAAGTTCAAGGTTCTCGTCGATCAGTCCTTGAATCAGCACATCTTTTGCCAGTTTAAATATTTCCTGGGAGTCGTCATCTGCTTGATTTTCTGGATCTCTATTTGAGGAAATGACAGAACAAGATTTTACTAGTCTCTTCTAGCCCTGCTGTTCAGCCCAAACGCACTGTCAGGAATAAAAGCGAGAGCTGGCTCTTCCCCTGAACGGGAACTGCCAGTCACCATGGGCCCCCCCTCTCACAGGTGTGAGCCTGGGCCTGCGGACTCATAGTCATTCCCAACAGGAAGAAGAGACAGGAGCAGGCACAGAGGTGACAAGAGTCGAGGGACACCATGGTGGGGGCACAGTGTTCTTGAGGGATGAGGCACCCAGTAGACTTCTATTTGTCTTGACAGACCTCAAAGAGTAACTATGGAGCCATAGGGTGCCCGAGCAGTAATGAAACTGGACACACATGGGAAGGTCTCAGGTTCGTGTCCCAAGGCCTCCCTGTACGTGGCAAGCATGCATGTGACCATGAACCTGCTGGCTTGGGATAGGGAGTGAACCTTGGCTTGAGGGCCCTCCTGTGGGTGCCTGTCTCTGTCTCTCATGGAAAAGAATAAATACAGAATAACTATATCAACATGTTACAAAAGCAGGGCACTTCAACTTTGAACTCGGAAATTTCACTCCCTCAGTATTTCCCACAGATTCATGAAATGAGTTCAAATACGGACACAATCCAGTATACTGACACGAACTGATTTAAATTATTAAATATTTGGTAAAAAATGTTTTATTACATTCCAGATTGCTTAAGGTACCCAAACGGTGCCTAAAAATGGCCACGAACACGTTGGCAACCAGCTCACCTGTAATTGTCGTGAATCCACATGAGAATGTTGTACATCTGCTCTCGGCACATGGGGGAGGGGTGGGAAACGAATTCTACAACAGGGCTCAGCAGTTCTCGGAGCTCCACTGGTTTCAATTTTGCCATTGTCTTATAAATTATGTCCAAACACACCTTTTGTCTTTCATCATCTCTGCAGTAAAAGGGATTTTGAAACTTTCAAAATCTGACAAGCAACTTTGTCTTCTTCGTACTCTTTTCTACTTTCAAAACCTCTGCTAGGCATTACTAACTTAAATAAAATTACGTTCCTAAAAATAATGATCAGGACTGGACTGAAGCTTATCAGTAATCATGGCGCTTTTCAAGACTGAGCCACGTGAGAAGATTGGGGGTTGTGCTCGGAGACTCCTGGAAATGTCAGGCGCATGCCTGCCCACGGTCCGGGGCCACTGTAGCTGGGGGACCACAGCGTGAAGACCCTGGTGGAGTGCTGCCTCTCCCACTCACGAAAGAAACGTACAAAAAATATATCATAAGCTACATTATTAAAAAGGAACAAATTCATTCAATGTTCCATCCTGAATTGAATGCTAGAAAAGAAAAAAGTTATTAGGAAACTGATAAAATGCTAATAAAGTCTGATTTAATTATTAGTTATGGACTAATGTTAATTTCTTAGTTTTGACAAATTACCATGATCATATAAGATGGAAAAACTGAATTCTATGTACTATCTTTTAATTTTCCTGTACAATAAAATTATTTCAAAATAAAGTGTATTTTAAAAAACACCTGATAGGGGCCAGCAGGTGGACTCCCGCATGGCCAACCATGGTTTGAGTCCCAGACCTGGCAGCTTGCTCTCTTACTCCCCCCAACCTCCTCTCTCTGGTGAACTAAAAATAATAATTATTATTATTATAAATACAATTAAATAATTCTTTTAAAAAAACCCTCATAATGGCAAACAAAATGAGCAAAAAAAATATAAAACATTTCCAATGAAAAAGAATGGTTTCAAGTGTTAGCTGCTGTGTCATACAGTGAAGATAAGAGCAGTCTGGTCCTAAGTAAGGCAAACACCTTTTCTTGTTGTGTACATCTTTTTAAAGCACCCAGCTTAGAGCCCTGCACACAGAAAGGACTCAAAGTGTTTACTGAGGGAAAGTAGGGCTCCGTGGCATACGCCCTGTTACTGACACACCACCCTTTCATTGGTAATTTACTACTACACAAAACACACACAAACCAAGACTACCTAGTACACAGAAGTAAGTGATCAGAAGCTTCCTGTTTTAGTATTTTGTGCTATGATGTGATTTTGAAAATCATTGAACAGTTTTAACATGTAACTGGAAGGCTCATACCTGGCAAAACAGGTACAGAACACAAAACCAGGCCTCTTAAGTCTGCAAAGAGCCTGAAGTGACGCCTGCATTTGCCGGGAAGACTCCGGCCCACCAGGCTCTCACGCCTTCCCTATGCTGTCCTCACCTTTTCTTCTCAGGTTCAAACTTCACAAGCACAAGAGACTTCAAAAAGTTCAAGGAAAGATGGATTAAAGTGGGAGTTTATTTTGCAGCTAAAAAACCCTTTTGAAATCCATGTGAGTGTCTTCATAATATGCATTTCCATGAAGGGGAAGTCCCTACAAGTGCCTCTCATGGAATCCCATAGGTTCTTCTTGAGCCAGGAGACCCCTGAGCAAGCGGGTACCCTGGAGCAGGGGGCAGGCACCTGGGCTGGGGCCACTCACCTGTGTCTCATGACATGAATGAAGTCCTTGCTCTTCAACTGGAAGAACAGGTCTGCCATTTCCTCTGCTCGACTGAGCACCACCTCCAAGCAGAGTGTCTTCATCACCCCATGAAATTTGGGCAGCAGGAAGAACACGATGTTCATGAACCTAGGCACGAGGACTAGTGAGAGGCTCACCATCGCCCTCCCCTCGCCCCCATGTCCCCACAGCCTATGGGCCACCAGCCATCAGGGGAAGGAAGCTTGGGCTGCTGTGCTCACACACAGTTATCTGCCTCACCTGTCAGCAAGTGGAGGGAAACTCCGGGCCAACTTGCTCAAACACATGATAAATTTGTCCTCCATCGTGTGCTGATGCTGCCTCAACTGTTTTACCACCAGCTCACACACAGACTCCTCCAGCACCTGAAAAATGAAATTTCCCCTCAATACACAAAGATGGAAGCCGATGCTAGTTCTGGAAAGCGCATTTCTCTTAAGTATTAAATGAACCCAAGAAAGGCACCGATGCTGTCACTTCTGAGGTTGGTGAGGTGCGAGCTGAGAGGGAGTGCTAAGAGCTGCTGGTGTGTGTGAGCCATCGACAGTACAGTGCAGGGTCCTGGAGCTCATGAGCACACACACAGGAAGCAGGAGGACCGGTCACCAGTGCTGTGCTGTACTATGAGCAGTGGGGGCTGGTTTGTCAGACCCAAGAGGAAGGCTGGCATCTCCTCTGACAACACTGCCAGTAGAAACTAAAACCAGGGACTGCACGCCGGGTAGTACACTTTCTGTGATGCCCCAGTCAGTCCACACAGTAGCCCTCTCACTGCCTGCCTAGACCGTCGCCATCAGGTGTCACTACCTACTGCCATGCTTTCGTTTGGGGACTGTCTCCCCTCCCCCACGCCAGTCCCCCTGCCAGTCCTGACCCTGACGTGTCCCCAGAGCCTCAAGTGAGAGCTCAACAAGGCTAAGGTCTGAACACGGTACACTGGGCCGAGTCGTGGAAAACGCTGCTCGCTTCCTTCATTTGCAGCTCATCTTACGCCTCAGAGACCAGAAAGGGATAGTCAGGAACTTTTTAGGGCACTAAGAGTGGACAGATCATTTTTCAACACAAACTCACTAGTAATGAGTCCATTTTAACACTATGCTCAAGGAAGGTCCTGGAAAACAACAACACACATGTCAGAGCCTGAACCCAGTGGAGGATATTTTCTTCAGGTATTATACTACTGATTCTTAAAAAAGGTATGTATTTTGGGACCAGCAGTTGGCCTAATGGCTATGTCGCTGGACTCCCACGTAGTCGACTGCGGTTCGAGTCCTGGACCCGGTGGCTTAAACTCACGCCAGGCGCGTGTGCATGTGTGCGTGCCCAAGATCCTGAGAGGGGAATGGAGGAGAAGGGACTGAGGTGTGGCCATCCCTCCTGGGGGGGGATTTCTCGCTTTCTGTCTCTCTGTCTGTCTGGTGAGCACTCAGGCCCTGTAGCAAAAACCTCTCCCCCCAAAAAAGGTATGTATTTTAAGCTTTTACGCTTACGATTTTCGTTCATGATAGAAGGCACGTGCATGCACATGGTGGGGAAACTTCTGACAGGGTCTCGTCAAACTGTGCCCCACGCTTGCCCTGGCCCTTGAGCTCACCAGGATTTGGGGCACACATGTACAAACTTGGTGTGTTTTCAGGCTGACCTGGGAACTGAACCCAAACCCACGCACTAACCTGCCAACTACACCACCAGGTTGGGCCAAGCTGTGTTTTTCTTAGAGGTATTCAGGAGCCAGCAGGTGACGTAGTGGTTGGGGTGCTGGACCATAATCGCCCATGTGGCTGACTGTGGTTCGAGCCCCAGATCTGGCAGCTTGAAACTGTGTGTCCCCAGGTGTATGCGCATGCATGCCCCACATCCTGAGAGGAGTATGGAGAAGGATTATGGCATGGCCAATCACCCCTTTGGAGTGATAGCTCACTTTCTGTCTCTCTTTGTCTCTCCAGTGAGCACACACCCTATAGCAAAAATCTCTCTCTAAAAAAAAAGAACAAGAAAAAGGAAGAAGAAGATGAATGAGATGGTTCCACAAGCAAGTAAAAGAAGTAGGTCATGGGCCAGTCAGGGGTCTGGTGGTGAAGGCAGCAGGATCCCACATGGCCAACGGTACAGTTTAAGGCTCAGACTCAGCAGCTTAAAAAAAAAACACTAGGTGCATGTGTTGTGGGCACATGCATGCCCAAAATCCTGAGAGGAAAATGGAGAAGGAATTGTGGTAAGGCTATTCCCCCTGGGGGTGCTTTCTAACTTCCTCTGACAAGTATGCGTAGCCTGTAGCAAATCAAAACAGATAAAAGCAAGCACGCACGCAGGCTGCACCGCAGTACGGATAAAAGGGACGCTCGGGCGCAGCGTGGTGGGACAAAACCAGCGCTCTTTCTTCGGTGCGTTTGACTCTGGCTTCTAAATTTCTACACTAAATCTATACCAACTATGCACTTAAAAAAAAAGCAGTAAAAAAACCAAAGCTTTTTATTCTTACTAAGCTGAAATTTAAGTCATAAGAGACATCTGAGGATCTGCTGTGACTTGCTCCACCTGTGGTGAGAACCAAAGGCATTCCATGTGTTGAAACCTTATACTTAGAGACATTAGAATCATGTGGTAACGAGATTATTCTGAATTTTAAAAACGTGTTTAATTGGCCAAAATAGCTGCCAATGCCTAACAAACCATAAGTGAAGTATTATCTTCCCAAATGGGTTTACTTCCTTGCATTATGAACTTTTATTTGAAATCCAGACAATCTATAAGTGGTGAAACAGACAAGGATCTAGTTGCTGTGTTTGGGGTCTGGTCTCCACACAGGACCACCAGGCTTCCCCAGGTCTGTCCTCACGCAGCTGACAGAAACCACAGGCCGTACTCCTGAGGAATGGGGCTGGGGATGTGAACTTGGGAATCGTGAAGATGAAGGCAATTTGTGAAGCCAGGAGGCTGGAAGATGGGCAGGGAACAGAAGGAAACCGAGACCTGTGGCCCGGTGGTAGGGGTGGCAGCTCAGGAACTGAAGGGGCAACTGCAGGGATGTAGGAAAGGCAAGCAGGGTCCTAGAAGCCAGCCTGCTGGAGCCGTTCCAGACAGGCCTCACCACAGCGAGGGCCCCAGGAAGCAGCAGGGCTTCCTACCACAAGCTTACTGGTGGTGGAGACGTTGAAAGCTGCTGTGCTCTCTTAACACACGAGGGGGCACAGCAGCCCAAGGCATCCCCCCGCACCTCTGCACCACTGTCAGTCAAGGCCCGTGTGGTTACATACACGTCACTAACGGCTGAGGTGACCTGCAGGTTCAGCACTCAGGCCTGAGTGTGTGCTGCCCCCGTCTGTGACCCTTTGCTCACTCTCTGCCAAGTGGGCAGGACTCACGGACTGACAGAGGTCCCCTGGGAAGTGCCAGCTCCTATTCAGCAGCCATGTCAGACACTGGAAGTGGAGAGTCTGACTGGGTAACGCGGCCTTTGCCGCAGCAGCTGTCTCCAGGGCAGTTTTCCCCAGAAGGAAAGCCAGAGTCCAAGTTCAAGGCATGAGGCTGGTTAAGCACGCTCACCCAGACTGGCACACTGACGAGTTGGGTGCCACTCCTTGTACGTCTACCAACTTTCGAGGTGTTTCAGAGAGAGACCTGGGCCAGGTGGGAGCAGGGTGGTGGGGCAGCTGACCCCCAAGGCCCTCTGTACAGTCTGGGTTTCAGATCCACCAACTTGAGAAACATGTCAGATGCTTGTGTGTGCCCAAAATCGCAAAACGGGAGGTGAAGAAAGGATTGCGATGCACTGCGTTTGGTATACAGCAGAAAAGAGAGGAGATGATAAATCTAGACGCCCATTTTGCTTCTAACAACATGCGGGAAACACATATCCAGAGTTATTGCAAGTCAACACTGAAAAAGCAGCATGTGTTTACAACCATGGGGCACTCACATTATCTCTCTCAGCAACGTATCGGAGAACAAGTCCTAGGACTTCTGCAGCGGCTGCATATACTTCTTTGTATTTCACAAAGGACATATTACTGACCAAAGCTTGAAAGTATCTACAACAAATACCAAAGATAAATACACATAAAATAGTCCATTCTTTTGTTTGACATAAAAACATAACAATTTTCCTCTTTGTATCATATTAATAACACAAATTCAGAAAACACAACCACAAAACACGATGCGAATGACTTCTGTGAGTACATACAGTTTGTGTATAGTTAAGGGCACCCAGAGGGAACAGGAAGTCCATTCCTGTACATGGAGTCCACACAATGCCAGATACTCCAAAACTTTCAAGGCAAGAATGAGCTACCATCCAAGATCACAAAGCCACCAGAGATCGGGCACAGAGTGGCTATGAAGCAAACACTGGATTCAGAAGTCCTCACTAACAGAACAAAACTCCTTACTGAAGGCACCTCCCTCCTAAGAGGGAATGACCCTACGTTTGGGGCAGGGCAGGGTCCAACAGGGGGAGAACAGAGAGGAGGAAAGAAAAATTCATGGCTGTGAGCCCTGAAATGAATCCTTGCATGGATCCTGAGTTAGTTTCAGGGGTAAATATTGAAAATACCAGGTTAGAAAATAAGAAGGAAAATACTCAGCACCTCTTTTGCTGATGTGCACATAAAAAAGTTGCACAAAATTTTGAAAACTGACATTCCTCATTTACACTGGACAGATTACTTTCCCCAAATGACTTCTACATCCAACTTCCTAATCTAGGTTTTTTTTTTTACATGACCCATGTAAAAAAATACATTTGTCAAAACTGAACCATACTCCAGCTGGTCAATCCAATTCAGGTGGTCCTGAACCTAAAAAAAGAGTCAAAGCACAGTACGTACTTGGTACTCTCAACACCACACTTCGGGTCATAGGGAGGCAAGTTGTTGGCCATCACGATACCCAGCAACTGAATCCCTACTGAATTGTCCTTTGAATTAGGGTCTTTACTGGAAAACTTCTCAAATATTAACCTGAAACATAAGCACAAAGGAGAAAATAGAGATTGTCATATAATAAAATGGGAAACAGGAAGCCAAACAGAACTTTCTAAAGCTGATCGGTTCCACTCCGCTTGTTACGTACTCCAGTTACCCTCCTTTGTGACATAGCGGTTTTCTATGTCTTAGTCTAGTTGCTGCCCACATTCTCCCTTAACAGATAGTAAAACGTTCTGTGAGTTTTATCTTGGCTCAGGCCACATTGAGAGCATCAAAGAATTCCCACAGCCCTCCCCTGAGCCCTGCATAGGGAAGCCTAGAGGTGAGCTGAGGGTGGGGAAGGGACTTCTGGAGGGTGCAGCTCCGCCTGGGGCTTCTGCCTCTTAATCACTGGGCAGAGGTTTCCTTAGATGCAATCCACACCCTTGTAAATGGGCTCAATTTCTACGTTCCCTTACGTTTCACTGTGATCACCCCTTACTATTGTTTACGCTCCTCTCTATTTGCAATTGTCAGGGGGCCATGCACTGACCAAAGATGGAGATGGAGAAAGAAAGAACCCCCAAGGGGGAATGGTCATGCAGCAATTCCACCTCCATTTCTCCGTCCTGTCGGGGATGGGGTACACATGCACACAAGCACCTAGAACGCTCTTCAAGCTAACCAACAGGCTCCAGAGTTGGCCCAATACAGTTCATGTTCACTTTCTTTTTTTTCCCTTTATTTTGGAGAGGTTTTTGCTATAGGGCGTGTGCACTTGCGAGAACCCCCCCTCCCCCCAGGGAGGTGGGGGATGGCCATGCGGCAATCCCTTCTCCTCCATTCTCCTCTTGGGATCTTGGGCACACACGCATGTGCACTGGTGCAAGTTTAAGCCGCTGAATCCAGGGCTCAAACCATGATCGACTACATGGGAGTCCAGCGACACAGCCATTATGCCAACTGCTGGTCCCTTAACTTAAGTTTCTAAGCAATATTGCAGATACTAGTAAATATATACCTGTAAGGGATGGATAAACAATCCTTCCAGCATTCAACAAGAGTCTTTATGATTTCAAGGTTGTGTCTAAACACGGCTCTTTTTGGATGAAATACATGTTTAATTAGGAAATGAAGCAATCGATTTGCTAATACTTCATCTTTAGGAACCCCCTGAAAAGGTAGAAAATGTTATATTAATATGCAACATTCCAATCTGGAAAAAAAAATTTGGGGGGGAAAGGTTTTTGCTATAGGGCATGTGTGCTCACCAGAAAGACAGAGAGACAAAGAGACAGAAAGCGAGAAATCACCCCCCCAGGGAGGATGGCCAAGCTGCAATTCCTTCTTCTCCGTTCTCCTCTTAGGATCTTGGGCACGCACGCACACGTGCCTGACATGAGTTTAAGCCACCGGGTCTGGGACTTGAACTGTGGTCGGCTCCATGGGAGTCCAGCGACATAGCCATTAAGTCAACTACTGGTCCCAGAAAAAACATTTTTTCAATCTACTTGTAAAAAAAATCTGCTGTCTCCCTGAGGAGTCTGCCTCCTGGTTAAACTGCAAGTGACCTTCCAGGGCTGACCACAGGTGTTGGCAGGCCTTAGGGAACCACCTCCCAAAGCAACCTATGCTGCAGCCTCTGAAGAAGGTGCTCAGGACTGGGGCCGGGACCTGCTCTCCAAGTGCCGGCCAGGCCCCTTTTGTGAGGCTGCAGGCAGAGGTCCCCTGCAGGTGCTTCTACTGGACTCACCATGGGGCAGGAGGAGGATAGTGAACACTGTCCCCACCTGACTTGGCATCAGTCCTTCTCTACTCCAAGCCCTCCCACTTCACCTCAGAGTCCACAAAACTGCCGCTGCCTTCTGTGCACACTCCTCAACACTAAGACCACCCAGGTCTGTGCTGACATGCCTGGCCCTGGCCCAGTGCGCCATTCCACAGGGAAATGGAATGGTGCTCTCCCTCCAGTTTAGCTTCTTGTTTATGCCACTTCAGCGAGTGATACAGGCTTCTGTTTGGCCGTCTCTGGCCCTCCTGTGGCTCTGATCGGCTACACCTGGAAGTCCTCCTTTCTTGAGCTTAGCTGAGCTCCTAACATCTACGCAAGTCTTCTCCAACAGATTCTATGCTGAACTAAATGCCCTCTTAATTTTTTCATGTTATCAAGCAGGTTACAAATTAGTTTACCATTTAATATTAAAAAATCTAAATCTAGTTACAGTGAAATAAATGATGGGCATATCCAGACAGAAACCTGACAAAGCGATGCTCTTAATATGTTTAATAGACCTTGTCCCACAAAAACCCACTTTTGCACCTGTCAGTGCTCATAGTTTTGAAGGAGGAGGCAAAGCTCCCACAACACAGGTCTATGCTTGTGGGCGCCACTCCACACAGGCTTCGGCACCACACAGTCAGTCACCGGCAGCCACCTCCTTAGCAGTTGCCACCACAGCTTAGAGACAACACTGAATAAATCAGCTGGCTAACACATGCCAAAATATCCAGGGAGTCCAATCACAGCAGAGGCCCTCGGGATCTCATACTCAGGGTCGCCGATATTTATTTAACACGCGATTTTAATAAATCTGTTAGCAAGCTCCTAGCGAGTAAAAGTAACAAACGAAAAAACACCTGACAGTTTAGTAAGAAAAGAGAGGTCAGAAGATTTAGAAGCAGATGGGGAAAAAAAAAAAGTCAAACAGCTTAGAGACAACACTGAATAAATCAGCTGGCTAACACATGCCAAAATATCCAGGGAGTCCAATCACAGCAGAGGCCCTCGGGATCTCATACTCAGGGTCGCCGATATTTATTTAACACGCGATTTTAATAAATCTGTTAGCAAGCTCCTAGCGAGTAAAAGTAACAAACGAAAAAACACCTGACAGTTTAGTAAGAAAAGAGAGGTCAGAAGATTTAGAAGCAGATGGGGAAAAAAAAAAAGTCAAAAGACGGAAAAAAAAAAAAAAAAAAAAAAAAAAAAACACAAGAGGCCCAAAAATGACCAAAACAGTCTGAGGCCATTTAGAGCAGGAACACCACCTGAGATGACAATGCTAGAAATGTGACTAACTCGTGGAGAGGCACTTGCACCTTCACATGCTCAACAGGATATCAGCAAAGAAACAAGATAATTCCACACAAAAGCTATTGCAGTCCTTACTGTGGGAGTGGCGAGGTTTGTCCAGGAGAGAATGGTGGCCACTATCTCAACCACCATGTAGTGAATTCCCTCTCCACCACTGTTCTCGGAAACAGCCAGCTGCAGCAAGGGGCTGAGCCAGGACTTTGCGTACGGACGGAAGACCTACGAGGGATTTCAAAAGTCATATCATCAGAGAATTGTGATGAATAATTCTTATTAATATAGGAATATACACTCTTACCACCTAAAACTTTATGTTATGATTTGACCTAAACCTAAAACAGACATAAATTCTAACAATTACCCACTTAGTCAAATTAGATTCTCTCTTGGATTCTCTCTGTGGCCTCCTAAAACAACTTTATAGAAATGGAATAACTGTAGATCTTTGCATTGCTTAAAACCCTTCTGATATAATAGTGCTTATAGAAATCAAAAATGGATTCTATATCAACCCTCTGTTCTACCTAAATAGTACACAGCTACAGGAAATGCTAATTTATATTATGGAAATGTGCAGACATATGGAAGTGAGATTATAAAATTAGGTAAGCAGAAATGGTTAAATTTTTTTCATTTATTCCAATACTGCAAAAGTCATTCTTTATAAACTTCACAAGTTTAAGATCTGTGAAACCTTAATAAAATATATCCATACACTAAATTGCATTTAATTATGCTAGGAATTGAAGGACTATGACTCTTTACTAGAAAAAAACAGACTAAAGATGATAATCCCAACTGCTGCCTACCTCTGAAACTACTTTCTTCTTCAAATATGTTTCAGCTACTCTCACAGTGTTATCTGTGGCCTCAAATCTTCCTGCACTATATACCCATAAGCTAAAACAGACAAACGACTCTGAGCATACTCCTCAATTTCTGTAGCCTTATTTAAGAATTAAAAATACAAAATTCTTTACTATGTTATTGAACTGTAACAAATATCTTAACACTGAAAATTTTTTAAGTAAATGCAAATATAAGGGAACTTCAAAAAGCTCACGGAAAAACAGAAGTATGAGCCAATTTCTGTGCTAACATATTTCGGAATCCATGCATAATTTTCTCAGACTATGTACTTCCCATAAACATACTGAAAACCCCTCACACAAGGTCTGTGAAGACCTCTAGAATACCTCTAGGAACCACCACATGGGTTGCTCTGGTCTTCAGATGTGTGTGCACACTGCTCCAGATCTCAGAAGCACCTCAGCACACACATGTGCAAACACATAGGGGGGCACTTGTGCATACACACACACACACATGCACACTCACATGCCAACACAGTACAGCAGGCATCTTTGCTCGCCAGCCAGGTTGGCACTTGGTGGATCATAAGCTAGAAATCCCATGTGACCCTGAGCATCACGGACTCAACTGCAGACCCAATCGCTGTCACATTTCTAAGCACAGGATGTGACCGTACTTGGATGTGGGGTCTTCACTAGTAATCAAGGGAAAGTGAGGTCTGAGAGAGGGCCCCAATCTGATGAGTGGGACCCTTACAAAAAGGGAAAATAAGAGACAGAAGCACAGGGGAAGATGACGGGGAGCAATGGGAAGAACTCCACCTGCATACCATGCGACCAAGGCCACCAGCAGCTGGAAGGGGATCGGCCCAGTTCTCCCTTATAGCCCTGGAAGGCACCAACCCTGCCCACGCATGTGAAGATAAAGGCATCCCAAGTCCTCGAAATACAAAGAATACCAAACAGATTCAACTCTTATACTGACAGGGATAAGTCGACACAGATCAATAATAGTGTTGAATATGAATGGGTTTAATTCCTAAAGAAAAAGACAAAGATTGGCTAAATGGATAACAAACAAGGGCTTTCGATATGCTGCTTAAAAGAAACTCACCTGACTGATAAGGACATACACAGACTGAAAGTGAAGGGCTGGAAAAGTCATTTCATACTAACAGAAAGCAAAAAAAGGCTGAGGTTGTGATACTGCTATCTGATAAAAATAGACTTCAAAATAAATACTGTAAAAAGACAAAAAGTTGGACCAGCAGATGGCATAACGATTACATTGCTGGACTCCCACGTAGTTGACCACATTTCAAGTCCCAGACCAGGCGGCTTCAAACACACCGGGCACATGTGCATGTGTTCCCAAAATCCCAAGAGGAGAATGGAAGAGAAGGGACTGTGGCGTAGCCATCCCTGAAGGTAATTTCTCGCTTTCTGTCTCTCTGGAGAACGCAAGCACTCTATAGCAAAAATCTCTTAAAATAAAAAGAAAGAAAGAAAGAAAGAAAAATATGACATAATATTTAAGAGACTGATCTGCCAATGAGATTTAACAGTTATAAATATCACATACCTAACACCGAGGTACCCAAATAAGTGAAAGAAAGGCTGCAGCATAGAAAGAGAAAGGCAGATTGCACACACTAACTGTTGGAGACTTCAACGCCCCGCGGTCCCCACCAGACAAGTCATCAAGACAAGGAACAAAGAGGCACAGGAGTTAAATGATACCACAAACCAAACATACAGATAGACATTTATAGAACATTCCACCCAACAACTCCAAAATACACATTTTTAAAAATGCAATACCACGTTTTTGAAGACTGCCTACATAATATGGCACAAGGGAAGCCTGTACAAATTTATTGATAGAAGTACAGAGAACTGTATCTAGCATGTTTTCTGACCACAATGGAATTAAATCTGAAACCAACAACAGAAAGAGCCTTCAAAAATACAAATGCAAGGAAACTAAACAATTTACTACTAAACAACTTCAAAACTACTGAAAATATTAACAATGAAATTTTTTAAATTCTTGAAATAAATGGCAATCAAGACATGATTTTCAAAAATCAGTAAAAGCAGTCCCAAGAGGTAAGTACATAGTAGGTAGTGCACAGAAGGCAAAAAAAAAAAAAAAAAAAAAAAATTTTTTTTTGGAGAGATTTTCACTGTAGGGCGCGTGCATTCGCCAGACAGACAGAGAGAGACATAGAGACAGAAAGCAAGAAATCACCCCCCAGGGGGGATGGTCACGCCGCAATCCCTTCTCCTCCATTCTCCTCTCGGGATCTTGGGCACGCACGCACACGCGCCCGGCGTGAGTTTTAAGCCACCGGGTTCGGGACACAAACCACGGTCGACTACGTGGGAGTCCAGCGACATAGCCATTATGCTAACTGCAGGTTCCCCAAAAAAAAAATCTTAATGACACATCTCAAGGAACTAGAAAACCAATACCAAAAACAAAACAAAAAAAAAACAGGGGCCAGCAAGTGGCATAGTGGTTGAGGTGCTGGACTCCCACATGGCCAACTACTTAAAAATCACGCTGTAGGGAACCAGCAGTTAGCGTGATGGCTATGTCGCTGGATTCCCACGTAGTCAACCGCGGTTCGCGTCCCAGACCCGGTGGCTTACAACTCACGCCAGGCGCGTGTGCGTGCGTGCCCAAGATCCTGAGAGGAGAATGGAGGAGAAGGGATTGCGGCGTGACCATCCCCCCTGGGGGGTGATTTCTTGCTTTCTGTCTCTGTCTCTCTCTGTCTGTCTGGCGAGTGCATGCGCCCTGTAGCAAAAACCTCTCCAAAAAAAAAAAAAATCACGCTGTGTAGGACCAGCAGTTAGCGTAATGGCTATGTTGCTGGACTCCCACATAGTTGACCGCGGTTCGCATCCCAGACGCAGTGGCTTAAAACTCACGCCAGGCGCATGTGCATGCGTGCCCAAGATCCCAGAGAATAATGGAGGAGAAGGGATTGCGGCGTGACCATCCCCCCTGGGGGGTGATTTCTTGCATTCTGTTTCTCTCTGTCTGTCTGGCAAGCGCACACGCCCTATAGCAAAAACCTCTTATAAAAAAAGAAAATCACGCTGTGTATGTGTGTGCATGTGTAGAGTGGAGGAGGGATTACAGCGTGACCATTCACCCTGGGGGGGCATTTCTCACCTTCCATGGTTCTGTCTTTCTCTGTCTCTCTCTAGCAAGCATATGCACCACATGGAAAAACTTTTACAAAACAAAAAAAAGCCCAAAACTATTACCAAAAAAAGAATAAAGATCAGAAAAGAAATGAGTGTTAATAGATAATTAAAGAATATAAAAAAAAAAAAAAAATCAACCTAACGACTGGCTTTTTTAGAGGATAAACAGAATCACAAACTGTTAAGTATACTAAGCCAGAAAAACAGAGAATGGAACAAGATAATCAGTAATGTAAGAGGCAATATTACAACATATATAACAAAAATAAAAAAAGATCATGAAAGCATCATCTAAGGGACCAGCAGTTAGTGCAATGTCGCTGGACTTCCATGTAGTTGACTGCGATTCGAGGCCTGGGCCCGGTGGCTTAAACTCACACCAGGTGCGTGTGCGCGTGTGCCCAAATCCCGAAAAGAGGATGGAGGAGCAGGGACTGTGGCATGGCCATCCTTGCTGGAGAGTGACTTCTCACTTTCTGTCTCTCTTTCTCTCTGTCTTTCTGGAGAGCACACATGCCCTATAGCAACAAAAACCTCTCCAAAAAAAGAAGAAAGAATAATCTAAGTGACGGCTCACCAACAAACTACAAACCTAGATGAGATGGATACATTTTGGACACAAACACTTTACCTAGACTGAGTCACAGGAAGACACAAAAAATTTAAGTAGACCAATAGAGTAATGCGATTGAATCAGTAATAAATAATCTCTCAACAAGGAAAAGTCCAGATCTCCATGGCTTAATTTCTTAATTCTAAAAAAGTTTAAAGAATTAATCCCAATTCTTAAACTATTTCTAAGGATCCAAAAGAAAGAACCCTCCCAAACCCATTCTATGAGGCCTCCATCATCTCGGTACCAAAAGCTGCCAAGAACATAACTCCAGACCAATATCCCTGATGAATAACAGATGTGAAAACACTTAACAAGATACTAGCAAGTTAAGTCCAACAGCACAAAAGATTATATACCAGGGTCAGCAGGTGGTGTGGTGGTTAAGGCGTTAGACTCCCACACTGGCCAACACAGACCCAGTGGTTTGAAAATCCTGGGGGGCATGTGTGTCCAAAATCCCAGGAAAAGAATGGAGAAGATGGGATCGTGGCATGGCATCCCCTCAGCAGGTGACATCTCACTCTCTTTTTTTCTCTCTTTCTCTCCAGCAAGTGTATGCCCTGTGGCAAAAATCTAAAAAAAAAATAAAAATTAAAAAAAAATAAAGGTTATATTCCATGACCAGGTAGGCTTGATCCCAAAGATGCAAGGATGGTTCGACATACACATAACAATAAATGTAACATATCATATTAACAAACAGAAAGATAAAAATCAAATGATCATATCAACTGATGTAGAGAAAGTATCTGATAACCTGAAACATCCTTTTATGATTAAGACTCAACAAAATAAATTTAAAAAGGTACATTTCTCAAGACAATAAAAGCCATATGTGACAAACTCATAGCTAACATCATACTAAATGGGAAAAAGCTTAAAGACTTCCTACTAAAAACAGAAAATGACCAGAAAAAGAAAAAAGTCAAAGAGAAAGATACCTGGGTTCAACTAAAGCACCAGTCTGCTTCACCCAGAGAAGCACACTTTGTGAGAACCAATGGAAAGGAGCTTGACTTCTGGGACCTATTCCCTATGAATTCATGTCATGATGGGTGTTAAATATAAACTAATGTGTGGTCTATAAGAAAAAAAAAAAAAGTAGATGCATAGAAGTTACAAACAGTTGTTAGAGAAATGATACGGTACTTACCTCTTCTGTATTAATAACAAGCTTGGCTAAGAAGAGACGGATATTTAATGGTACTGATGAATTTCCTAGTTTGTCGTGAAGAAATTTCATCCAAGCAGGAAGCTCTCTTGGCATTGATCCCTGAAATAAACACTCTGAATTACCCTAAAAGTTAAATAAAATAACCTCATGACTTGATGTAACGAGAAAACAGTGACAGAGTAAGAGACAAACAATGAAAAATGTTTACTTGAAATGAAATTTGGTTTAGTCAATATTAAAAGTTAATTTTCAACACGATACCAATGAACAGCATTAACAGAATGAGGATAGCAGGAAGCACCTCTGCTTCTCCAGGCGGGCACAGCCTCCTGTGCATGTGTTGGACCAGGGCGGTCATGGTGGCCATGCACTCGTGCTGATTGAGCTCGTCCATCTCCAACTCCAGGACGTCGTCTTGGACCACAGGGTCCTGATGTTCCTAAGAGGGAAGATGCCATGATGCACAGTTCTATTAGTGCATCAGGGGACCCAAGATTCTTCTTTTTAACAATACTGTATGAGAAACACTAAGGTAATAACAGTAAATTTGGTAATACCAAATGTGCTTGGTGGAGTTCCTTTAATATTAAACAATTAACAACTAAACAGGACCCCATTCTTCCTTGCACTCCAGGTACCTCCTCCCCTGAAACTGCCTGTGCAGTCTCTCCCTAGACCTTCTTCCAGTGCTGATGAAATCTGATTGGTAAGTCTACAGGATGAAAAGCTGGGACCCAGATCTTCAAACATTCTCCAAATTAACTCTACTTCCCAAGAACTACTGATCCACGGAGACCTGGCTTTCTCTAGTAATAACGGCTTAGCTAACTCCTTTCCTTTGCAAACTTCAACAATATTCTTTTAATATGTGAAATACAATTACCCTTCTCCGAAAATGACCAGTGATAGATTTAGAGTTTTGGGAGTTGTATGAATAGCTCTGAACTCCAGTTGAGAAATCAAATTGACTCATTTCCTCACTCAGACTACTGTCAGCCAAGTAGGACAAGGAAGACATATACTGAGGACCATCTGAAATATAAACCAAGAGAAAACACATATACCCAAACATCATCAGTAAGAAATATATTTTTCTAAGCTCAAATGACATTAAACTTATAGGACACTTTCAACAAAAGTTTTTTCATCAGCCCTGTGATTTTATTTTATTTTTTATTTTGCCAGAGGGCATATGTGCTTGCCAGGAGAGCCAGAGGGGTGGAGGGGGACACGTCTCATAGTGGGACACGTCTACATGCCCAGCATGCTTTTGACCAGGACCATGATCCCATGTGGGATCCAGCTCCCTTAACCACTAGGCCATGGGGTGGCCCAGCTCTTTAATTCCTAATCTATTATCCAGAAAAAAAAAGCAAAAACGGAATGGGGAAAACACCTCCCTATGCTTTTGTCATTACTGACCAGTTATTATCTACTGGATCCAGTTTCTATTAAACTGGATCCAATTTTTTAGATAGGAGTAACAGAACTTAGCATTTAAAATTTTGATCATATACATTTTTTAAAAATGTTTGACCTAGGGTGCATGTGCTCACCAGAGACAGACAGACAGAGAGGGAAAGTGAGAAGTCACCCCCCAGAGGAGATGGCCATGGCTCAATCCTTTCTCCATTCTCCTCTCATGATTTTTGGGAAGGCACACACATGCACCCAGTGTGATTTCTGACCTGGCAGGTCCAGGACTCAAACCAGAGTCAGCCATATGAGATCCAGCTACTTTAACCACCACACCACCTGCTGGACCAATGATGTACTTTTTGCCCATTTAGCTGAACATAAATGTTGGGAAAAAATACTAGGTAATTTAAAATACATAAGAGATTTAGAACTGGGCCCCAATTTTATCTTCAAATCAAGAATGGCAATAAACACTATAAAGAAAAATTGAGCAAAAAATTGCAACAAAGGAGCATGTCAAAGGATATGAGGATAATTTTAAATAGGGAGGCTAGGAAGAGCCTCCTTTAAAGGCTGACATAAAATGAAATGTCATGAGGTGCTATGATATCTGGGGCTAGATAGGAAAGCCAACGGCAGGTACAAACATCTGGGAACAGAAGTATTCTTGTCACCCACAGGAACAGACTGGGACCATACTGCTGGACCAGTGAGCAAGGAGGATAACAGGAGACTTAGCTGCTGATCAGGGCCCAGTCCTAGGCAGCCCTGTCCTGAGGGAGATGGAAGTAGCCAGGAGGTGTGGGACAGGGCAATGTCAGGAGATAACTTACCTTCTAATGCAGACTTCTGAATAGATCTGATTTATATACAGACTTAATCCATATGCAAACAATGAGGCATCAAGGTTATCTCACATTCCTTAAAAAAGTGTAATGTATCTGGAGGCCAGCAGATAGTGTGGTGGTTAAGGTGCTATACTCCCACATGGCCAAAAGCAGTTCAAGTCCTGGACCCGGTAGCTTGAAACTCATGCCAGGCACATGTATGTACATGACCAAAATCCTGAGAGAAGAGATTACGGCATGGCCATTCCCTCTTGGGGAATGATTTCTCACTTTTTCTCTCTTTGACTCTCTAGCACAGCATTTATGGGGGACATTTAAAATTTTGATCATATACATTTTTTAAAAATGTTTGACCTAGGGTGCATGTGCTCACCAGAGACAGACAGACAGAGAGGGAAAGTGAGAAGTCACCCCCCAGAGGAGATGGCCATGGCTCAATCCTTTCTCCATTCTCCTCTCATGATTTTTGGGAAGGCACACACATGCACCCAGTGTGATTTCTGACCTGGCAGGTCCAGGACTCAAACCAGAGTCAGCCATATGAGATCCAGCTACTTTAACCACCACACCACCTGCTGGACCAATGATGTACTTTTTGCCCATTTAGCTGAACATAAATGTTGGGAAAAAATACTAGGTAATTTAAAATACATAAGAGATTTAGAACTGGGCCCCAATTTTATCTTCAAATCAAGAATGGCAATAAACACTATAAAGAAAAATTGAGCAAAAAATTGCAACAAAGGAGCATGTCAAAGGATATGAGGATAATTTTAAATAGGGAGGCTAGGAAGAGCCTCCTTTAAAGGCTGACATAAAATGAAATGTCATGAGGTGCTATGATATCTGGGGCTAGATAGGAAAGCCAACGGCAGGTACAAACATCTGGGAACAGAAGTATTCTTGTCACCCACAGGAACAGACTGGGACCATACTGCTGGACCAGTGAGCAAGGAGGATAACAGGAGACTTAGCTGCTGATCAGGGCCCAGTCCTAGGCAGCCCTGTCCTGAGGGAGATGGAAGTAGCCAGGAGGTGTGGGACAGGGCAATGTCAGGAGATAACTTACCTTCTAATGCAGACTTCTGAATAGATCTGATTTATATACAGACTTAATCCATATGCAAACAATGAGGCATCAAGGTTATCTCACATTCCTTAAAAAAGTGTAATGTATCTGGAGGCCAGCAGATAGTGTGGTGGTTAAGGTGCTATACTCCCACATGGCCAAAAGCAGTTCAAGTCCTGGACCCGGTAGCTTGAAACTCATGCCAGGCACATGTATGTACATGACCAAAATCCTGAGAGAAGAGATTACGGCATGGCCATTCCCTCTTGGGGAATGATTTCTCACTTTTTCTCTCTTTGACTCTCTAGCACAGCATTTATGGGGGAAAAAAAAAAAAAAAAACTAAAAGAAAAATTATGGCGTAACTAAACTCCACCTGGTGACTCTGAAAGCGTTTTATGCAGCTAAATTTAGCTGATTGCATTTTTTTAAATATATCATTGCATTTGCCACTTGAAAATAAAAACGGTTTTCAAACTCAATGTAAATGTTTTCAGGTATTTAAAATTGGGATCCTTCCCTCATCTTGAAAATGTCCTACCTGAATCCCCACTTGCTGATTCCCTGGCCTCTTTCCTAATTTCAATGTACTTTTTCTTCCTTTCCATAGGAACCTATTAGGCAAAACAAATACACAATTGGAATCACAGTCACCCTTTTTGTTTTAGTATCAATCTGGAAAAAAAAATTAGTACTCATTTTTCTAGAGACAAGTCTTTCTGTCTCATTATTCTCCTGCCTCACCCTCCCAAGTAGCTGGGAGCACAGACACACATGATTATGCCAGACTCTTTCAGACAGGGTATCTCACTGTAATGCCCAGGCCAGGCTGAGCTTGAGATCCTCCTGCCCTTGTCTCCCAAATTGCTGGAATTACAGATGCAAGCCATCATTAGGTTGAAACTAGAATCAAACTTGGACATCCCACATTACACCAGCCTACAGAGCATAACATCTTAGCACTATATGCCATTGCACCCAGGTCACAAATTACCAATTTTTAAACAAATTTATCAATTAATTTAATCAAAATTGAAAATATTTAATAATATTCATACAAACAATGATACCTGAGTGTCTCTTAAGTAAAGCCTTCCACAGACTCCCATAAAACCTGATGAAGGCACTTGCCCTTCCACTTCAGATCTAGTACAGGTTACTGCAACAATGTGTGCTGAGCTTTTACAGCCACATGCCTGGATTAGTAAATTTTGACTTGACCTTTGAGCCTGTTTCCTCACATTATGATTATGATACACAAGAGCACCTTACAATGTTGTTGTGAAGTTTAAAGATTTGGTAAATATCTGGATGCTTAGTAAACTGGTTGATATTATTTGTTTTTCAGCCCTTTGAACATACGCCTAGAAAAAATTTCCAATCTTGTTCCAAAAGGGTACAAGGCAGAAAGTAACCCTTCATGTGCAATGGTAAACCAAGAAGACATGGCTGAGGCCAGCAGCTATGCAGAAAATGTGCAGGCCATGATGTATGATCTTGACTCTCTCCTCACATTCCCATTTTTAATGGGCCACCACCTTCTGGGCATGTCAACCTAAGATTGGCTAAAACCAAACTCACCCCATGTGCCAAAGCACATCTTCCAGTTACCCCCTGATTTCCCCATTATCCTGCAAAGTCATACAAGGAGGGGCACAGATAATCAGTCATATCAGTAAGAAGTTCAATGTCTTTGACTAGAGAACTTCACTCAAAAAAATTCTAGAATATGTCCTGGCAACTATTCTGATTAGTGCTGCTGTTCCTTCATAAGTAGAAGGGAAAAATCAAGTTCTAGTGAATTCTGCTGCAGTTGCCTGAGACTGTATTGCAAGCTGAAACTGACAGGGTTTTTTTTACGTAAAAGCACACTTGAATTTGGCTATTTTACAACATAATATCTGCTTTTCCTATGAGTACTAAATATTTTCAACTTAGAAACAAAATTGACAATGTCACTCACCTCAATTTCTATAGGAAATGTATAGCAGCGCTTCACATCTATGAGATTTTCAAAAATAAGCAAGTTCTGCAAATCCAAACAATCATACAAAAATATTCAGTGGTGGAGAGCCTTAATATTGGTGCTGCTATAGAATTAATGCTATGAGGTCATCAGGAAAGTTAAGACACGTTACTTAATCGAAAAATACATCATGACTTTCCCGATGGCCTAATACTTAACAATTCATAGAGAAGCACTTCAATTTCAAAATATATTCATGCAGAAGGAACCACATCTTTAATATTACCAGAATGTGGAGTCAGCAGGTGGCATGATGGTTAAAGGTGCTAGACTCCCACATGGCCAACCATGGTTCAAGTCCTGGACCTGGTGGCTTCCTTTCTGTTTCTCTCTCTTTCTCTCGCTGGTCAAATTGGAAAATAACAATAATAATAAGTTAAAAAATTTTTTTAAAAAGTACCAGAACATAATTCATATGTAAACTTTCTCTATTTCACTCTACTTGTATTTAGAGACCATACATCTTCACTTTATCTATGAAGAAAATAAGCTTCCTTCATAAGTAGAAGGGAAAAATCAAGTTCTAGTGAATTCTGCTGCAGTTGCCTGAGACTGTATTGCAAGCTGAAACTGACAGGGTTTTTTTTACGTAAAAGCACACTTGAATTTGGCTATTTTACAACATAATATCTGCTTTTCCTATGAGTACTAAATATTTTCAACTTAGAAACAAAATTGACAATGTCACTCACCTCAATTTCTATAGGAAATGTATAGCAGCGCTTCACATCTATGAGATTTTCAAAAATAAGCAAGTTCTGCAAATCCAAACAATCATACAAAAATATTCAGTGGTGGAGAGCCTTAATATTGGTGCTGCTATAGAATTAATGCTATGAGGTCATCAGGAAAGTTAAGACACGTTACTTAATCGAAAAATACATCATGACTTTCCCGATGGCCTAATACTTAACAATTCATAGAGAAGCACTTCAATTTCAAAATATATTCATGCAGAAGGAACCACATCTTTAATATTACCAGAATGTGGAGTCAGCAGGTGGCATGATGGTTAAAGGTGCTAGACTCCCACATGGCCAACCATGGTTCAAGTCCTGGACCTGGTGGCTTCCTTTCTGTTTCTCTCTCTTTCTCTCGCTGGTCAAATTGGAAAATAACAATAATAATAAGTTAAAAAATTTTTTTAAAAAGTACCAGAACATAATTCATATGTAAACTTTCTCTATTTCACTCTACTTGTATTTAGAGACCATACATCTTCACTTTATCTATGAAGAAAATAAGCACATATATATTTGGTGCTTAAATAAAGAAATTTTAAAAAATTTTCAAGGCACACTCTTGTGTATGGACACATCACATTTTAATGGTCTAAGTTGTAGACTCAAAAGCATTTAAAAAGCATTTAAAGTGAGCTCATTTCTATTCACATTTCCTAATTTCCTGATCTTTGAGCTGCCCCTGAAATAGCATAGCTCTCCACCATTCTTTTTTTTAATTTACATTTAATCACTGTATAGTTTTAAAGTGTACAATGTTGCTTTTTCCAGCATGAATACAATGCATTCTGCCATTATTTTTTTAATTATTTTATTTAACTTTATTTTCGATTATTATTATTTTCCAGTTTGATCAGAGAGAGAAAGGAAAAGTGAGAAAGCAATCCACCATGTCCAGGACTTGAACCGCAGTTAGCCATGTGGGAGTCCAGCACCTTTAACCACCACACGACCTGCTGATTCCTCTGTTATTCATTTTAAAATTATTTTAGATATCATTTTTTTGTTTTTTCTCTATTAGGAACAAAGTGATTTTATATAACACACATCCATACATATTGAAACCTGCCAAAAATACATTTTCTTTTTTTCTCTTATGCATTTATTTATTTATTTTATAAAATTGTATATAACAAAAAACACGGTAATGTTTATAACTTACATATACAAAGTACAATTTCACAAAAGACTGGGAACATTTTGTACACTTGTCAGTCCTTTCTTTTAAAGCAAGGTGTTCATTTTTTTTTTTTTTTTTTTGGGGGGTTTTTGCTTAGGGAAAAGGTGGTTGCATTTTGCTATAGGGAACGTGTGCTTGCCAGAAAGACAGAGAAAGACAGAGAGACAGAAAGCGAGAAATCACCCCCTGGCGGGATGGCCATGCTGCAATCCCTTCTCCTCCATTCTCCTCTTGGGATCTTGGGCGGGCACGCATGCAAACGCGCCTGGCATGAGTTTAAGCCACCGGGTTTGGGACTCGAACCATGGTTGGCTACATGGGAGTCCAGCAACATAACCATTACACTAACTGCTGGTCCCAGGCAAGGCGCTCTTTTGATGGCAAATAAATTAACAGATACACACTAGAGTGGACTATTTCTAGACAAAACAAAAAAGTTTTTATTTATTTTTATCTTGTAAATATAAGTTTATCATTTATAGCCTTCAAATATTACTACACCTAAACTTTCAAAATTTGATAAAGCATCCATGAAACAATCGGCAGACTAACAACACTTCTAAGCAGACATGACTGTCCTAAAAAATTTTTTCCTTTCTCAGTGTAACTAATTGATATAACCCAACTTTGGAAATCCTACAAGGACAATGACAATGAAGAGTTGAGGAAAGGCCTACCTTCTCTGGTTTTTCACTAAACAGAAAACCTTGGTAAAATTTTAATTCATTGAAGACACAGCAGATAACAGAAATGGCACAGTTGTAAGCAGCACAATGGTAAAGTCTTCTCCTCTCCAGCAACTGGCTCTCCCCTGCCATGTTCTCTGTATATGCGTCATGGCACAACCTGCAGAGTAGAAGCAGGTCACGAGTCACTGCACATAACATGGGGGCTGCCGCACCAGCCGAGTAATGCTAGGCCACAGGATCCACCTCAGGTGGGCCTGTCCCAAGGGCAGGTTTGTGTCAGGACAAGCGCATCACCATTTCACACAATGGCAGCCTACATGGATCCCACCAAGGGATGGTGTATGTAGGCGCAGCAACAGCAGCAAGTGAATAAAGTACACAGAGAGAAACAAGGAGCCCAGGGTAAGGGCTAGGAGAAAATACCTCCACGGGGTTTTAATTTAGCCAGAGGGAAATGTGAATAGGCATTACTAGCAGAGAAGTCACTTAGTGACTTCACTTAGCAGTCACTTGGACTGAGGGCTAATCGGTGGCGTGTGTTGGTAGAAAGACATGGAAGCAGTGTTCCTGGGAGGGCTCGCTTGCCATTCTGAGGTATGGTGGCCCTCATCCTGCACGATGAAGTGGTCAAACCAACCAATTACTTCTCAAAACAGCTTTCTCAGAACACAGCCATGCCCATTCGCTTAGGTATTGTTTAAGGTTGCTTTTGCATCCTCATGTTGTACATAGTAGTTGGAGTAGCTGGGACAGAGGCCATATGGAAGCAATGAGGCTTGTACTCCAGCTACATTCTCATTTGGCAGAAATGTGGGCAGGAAAAACAGCCTAGGGTAGGGAGAATCATTATGAAGGAGAGGACTGCAGTGGCTCACCAAAGAAATCTCCACACTAACACAGGCCAACGAAGGGGAATGGAAACAGGTGTTGGATTCAGGAATACTGAAAAGATAAAACTGGCCAAATCTGGTGACTGACAGGGTATGTGTGGAAACTGGAGAGCTAAAGATGAAATGAAAATAAAATACAACTAACCACATTTCTTATCTATGCAAATGAGGAAGCAGAGGAGGACCAGGGACAGAGGAGAAGAGTGATCAAGTTTGCTTAAGATGTCCAAAACGAGACATGGCCAGTACTTTTAGGAGGAGAACTTTACTAGAAAACTAATGTTAAAGAAAATGTATTTCATTGCTTTGGGTTTTATAGAATACCTGTTTAGAAACATTTACCACTCCTTTTATTTCAAATGACAGTCAGAAAAAAAAAATACCCTAGTTTCTCTCCTGCTATAAATCACCACTGAAAAAACGTCAAACTATTTGGAAGGGAAAAACATGGTGGAAAAAAAATAGCAAAAGAAAAAAAAGTTTTATTCTTTATAAAAGCACAAGACGAAACTTCTGCTGACATATAGTCTTTCTTGCAACATGCTAAAATACAGTGCATCTAAGTAGCTTGAACATAAAAACAATAAAAACTGTAAAAGCTCAGTATTAAATAAAACAACATATTCTATACATGCATAAAAATATATGCACCAAAAATACTAACATATCAAATAGAATCCAAAATTAAGTAAAATCTTACTTAATCAGTGTCTTTGTAAGTTCACTTCCTTCTGTAATACAGGAGCCATGGAATACTTGATTAACTTTAGATTCCTTAGAGTGAACATCATCTTTTGGAAGACGAGAATACATCACCTCTAGTATCTTGTAATAGCACATCTTCTTGGTGATTTGAGTATCAAAGGTACATTCATTTAGCTTAGAAAAAGCAACAGATAATTCATCTTTAGCCTTATCAAACATGAAAAATATCTTATTGGATATATCAAATTTAATACATTATACCCTCTAGATGCAAAAAAATTTAATCCCCCAACAAGCTAAGTCACTTCAATGAAAGAGCATTCAGTGCCCATGACCTAAGATAAGTTACAATGGATGAAACAGAAAATAATCACGTCCAAACAGTGATTCAGGACACACAATTTATGCACAAATTCTTACTGAAAACATGGCAACAAGAAGTAAAAATCTAGTGTACTAAAACCCCAAATGTCAACTATTCTGAAGCCTGCATGAACAGTACTATTTGGGTATATATAGTATTTCATAACAGGATCCTGTGGGAGGCTGCCTTTCATATCCCCACATACATGCACAAGAGATAGCCCAGAAAGTGTCCTAATCCCAGGGGCCATCAGGTGGCATGGTGATTAAGGGGCTGGATTTCCGCATGGCCAACTGTAGTTTTAGTCCTGGACTTCCTGGCTTGCTTTTCATTTTCTCTCTCTTTCTCATCGTCTCTGGTAAGAGCACGTGCCCTACAGCAAATTAAAAAAATAACAGGGGCCAGCAGGTGGTGTAGTGGTTGAGGTGCTGAACTCCCACATGGCTGACCACAGCTCAAGTCTTGGACCCAGCAGCTTGAAACTCATGCCTGGCCTGTGTGTGTGCATGCCCAAATCCTGAGAGAATGGAGACGGGATTACTATGTGGCCTTCCCTTGGGGGGTGATTTCTCACTTGCTTTCTCTGTCTCTCTGGTAAGTGCATTTACCCTATAGCAAAAATCTCTCTTAAAAAAATAAAAATAAACAATAAAATCAAATAAGTAATTTTTTAAAGAGATTTTTGCTATAGGGCGCGTGGGCTCGCCAGAGAGACAGAGATAGAAAGCAAGATACCACCCCTCAGAGAGGATAGCCATGCCACAATTTCTTTTCCTCCATTCTCCTCCCGGGATCCTAGGCATGCATGTACATGCACCCAGCATGAGTTTTTGTTTTGTTTTTTGTTTTTTTAAAGATTTTTATCTTTAAATATACATACATATATTTATTTATTTATTTATTTACTTTAATTTGACCAGAGAGGGACACAGAGAGAGAAAAAGTGAGAAAGCAAGCCATCACGTCCGGGACTCAAACCACAGGCAGCCAGCCATGTGGGAGTCCAGGGCCCTTAACCACCATGCCACCTGCTGGCCCCACCTAGCATTAGGTCAGCGTAATGGACTACGTGGGAATCCAGTGATGTAACCCTTATGCCATCTGCTGATCTAATAATTTTATTAAACTTTAAAAATATTATTTATTTTAATTTTACTTGTTCATTCATTTTATTTTGTCCAGAGAAAGAGAAAAAGGTGAGAAAGCAAGCCACCAGGTCCAGGACTCGAACCGTGGTCAGCCATGTGGGAGTGTCCAGGGCCTACCTGCTTTCCCCCGCATTAAATAATTCTTAAAAAAAAAAATGGTCCTAATCCTGGAATTTATGAATGCACTCTCCTTGTTCAGACAAAAGGGACTATGCAGGCACCAGTCAGGTAAGGACCTAGAGACGGGGAGGTTACACTGGACTGTCCTACAGGAGGCCCTAAGTGAAATCATAATGTGACCTAAGGGGGATGCAGAGGAAATTCCGAGAGGAAGAGGCTCTGTGACAAGGTGGGCAGAGAGTGAATGAGACCAAGGCAGGCCAAGGAAGGGAGCAACCACCAGGAGCTGAAAGCTGGAGGGATCTCGGCCCCGTGAAACTTCAGGCTTCCGGGACTGAGAGAGAACATGCTCGGTGTTCAAGCTGCCAGAGCAACCACAGGGAATGAGGCAGACCACACAAAGCCACAGCTTACTACTGAGATGCAGAGGGGTCCTCCTACGGTGACGGGGACCACCAGAATCTCGTCTGTCAGTGCCTACTGATGTCTCAGGTGTGCAGTACCTTTGTAAACCTGGACTTCAGCATGTCGGTGGCATCCACCACAATTCTGCTGAAGAACTCTCTCAAAGCATTCAGGCTGCAGTGCCACATCAGGGTGAGAAGGGCGCGATCCACAAAGGCTTGGCGAGTGGTGCTGAGAAGGAGGTCGTCCTTCCTGAACATCCGGTACACGCTCTCCAGAAGGTCGACTTGTGTGGCGCAGGGGCTCCTACGGAAATAAGACGATGGTACGTGAACGTGCATGCTCCCTGCAACATGAACGCCCGTGTCTAATCTGGAAGTAAACACCAATGACCACAAATCATGTCAAAGATTTCAGAATCACGTCAAGGACCCTACATAAAAACCTCACAAAATATAAAAAGTATCTGCGCATAAACCATAGTGTTTCTTTCAACCCTGGATGACTTCAAGTCAAACTTAGGCATTACGAAGAATTTTTTCACTTCTCCTCCAATTTGGTCTTACTTAACACATGCAAGGCTCTGGAAACGTCTTGGGCCTAAAGATGACCACAGTTCCAAGATATGAAGCTCTTGAGTTAGGACTTCGAAATTCCAGCTCTAACAACGTTCCACCTCTGTATCTCCCTCGCAGAGAAACAGCCAGGTGCCTGGCCCTTCTTTTCTCACCCAGAAAACAGGCATCATCTGTAAGGTCTGTCTGTAACTACCTATTACTACAAATTAGGAAGGCAGACTGTGTGTCCTCACCTACAGAAATAAAGTTAGGACTAAATGGTCTTAGAATTCTGAGGTTCTGAACTTAGGTTTAGATTCAGAAGGGAATTCAGCTATAATGCTGTGAGGGGGCAAGACACTGCCAGCTGGGACAGGCTTTGTAACAGGCGCCTGGGCCCTACAACAGACTTGTGTGACCCCTTCCCAAAGCCATGTTTGAAATCCTCACCCGCAGCATGATGGTGAGAAGGTGAGGCCTTTGGGAGGCTAGAGCCCTCATGAAAGGGACTAGTGCCCTACAGAAGAGGCCCCAAAGGGCACCGTCACCTCTTCTGCCACAGGAGGGTGCATGGGAAGACGGCTCTCTATGCACCAGAAGGGAGCCCTCACCAGACACCTCTACTGGCAACTCAACCTTGGAATTCCAGCCTCCAGGACTGTGAAAGAGAACCTGCTTGTAAGCCTGCCTAGTCGATGGTATTTTTGTCTGAGCCTAGGAACTAAGGCAGGGACCGCCTCGGGTTTAACTTCTGAGGAGCTTCCTTACTAGTGCGCAGTGGAGAGGCACACGGCCCAGGCTTGAACTGTGTACACATAGCTGGGGGGGTGCGCAGAGTGGTGGGGGGGGGGGGGGGGGGAGGAATATGCGATTCAGAAACAGGGCCAGCAGAGGGTTTACTCAAAAATAAACGGAAACATGCTCCATTTCACTCATAATACAAGAAATAAAATGAAAGCAACAAAAGAGCCTTCCTCTCTTATAAAACTGGAACAAACTCATTCAATGGGCAAGATGGTGAAATCAAGTCACCCACATTATCAGAGGGAATGCAAATAAAACAGCTCCGAAGAAAGGATGTGGCACATCTAGTAAAGCATTACCCTGCATTCCTAGGGTAATCTCCAAATGGTAACTATGGAGGGACTTTTCCATTTGGCTGGTTTGGTTTGCTAATGTTTTAGAGGACTGCTGTGTCTATACTCCTTAGGGATATGGTGTACAGTTTTCAGGTGATGTCTTTTTCTAGCCTGGCATCAAGAGTGCTACTGGCCTCGGGAACCAGCAGTTAGCGTAATGGCTATGTCACTGGACTCCCACATAGTCGACCGCAGTTCGTGTCCCGGACCCGGTGGCTTAAAACTCACGCCGGGCGCGTGTGCGTGCGTGCCCAAGATCCCAAGAGGAGAATGGAGAAGAAGGGATTGCGGTGTGACCATCCCCCCGGGGGGTGATTTCTTACTTTCTATCTCTAAGTCTCTGTCTATCTGGCGAGCGCACGCGCCCTATAGTGAAAATCTCCCCCCCCCCAAAAAAAAAAGAGTGCTACTGGTCTCACAGAAAGGGGTAGGAAGTGTTCGCCCCTTCTCAATTGTTATTAAGTATTATTATGATTCGTTCTTTTTTTTTTTTAAATGGAGATTTTTACTATAGGGCACATGTGCTCACCAGAGAGAGACAGAAAGCAAGAAATCACTTCCCCCAGAGGGAATGGCTATGCCGCAATCCTTTTTCCTCCATTCTCCTCTCAAGATTTTGGGCGGGGGGTGGAGGAATATGCGATTCAGAAACCGGGCCAGCAGAGGGTTTACTCAAAAATAAACGGAAACATGCTCCATTTCACTCATAATACAAGAAATAAAATGAAAGCAACAAAAGAGCCTTCCTCTCTTATAAAACTGGAACAAACTCATTCAATGGGCAAGATGGTGAAATCAAGTCACCCACATTATCAGAGGGAATGCAAATAAAACAGCTCCGAAGAAAGGATGTGGCACATCTAGTAAAGCATTACCCTGCATTCCTAGGGTAATCTCCAAATGGTAACTATGGAGGGACTTTTCCATTTGGCTGGTTTGGTTTGCTAATGTTTTAGAGGACTGCTGTGTCTATACTCCTTAGGGATATGGTGTACAGTTTTCAGGTGATGTCTTTTTCTAGCCTGGCATCAAGAGTGCTACTGGCCTCGGGAACCAGCAGTTAGCGTAATGGCTATGTCACTGGACTCCCACATAGTCGACCGCAGTTCGTGTCCCGGACCCGGTGGCTTAAAACTCACGCCGGGCGCGTGTGCGTGCGTGCCCAAGATCCCAAGAGGAGAATGGAGAAGAAGGGATTGCGGTGTGACCATCCCCCCGGGGGGTGATTTCTTACTTTCTATCTCTAAGTCTCTGTCTATCTGGCGAGCGCACGCGCCCTATAGTGAAAATCTCCCCCCCCCCAAAAAAAAAAGAGTGCTACTGGTCTCACAGAAAGGGGTAGGAAGTGTTCGCCCCTTCTCAATTGTTATTAAGTATTATTATGATTCGTTCTTTTTTTTTTTTAAATGGAGATTTTTACTATAGGGCACATGTGCTCACCAGAGAGAGACAGAAAGCAAGAAATCACTTCCCCCAGAGGGAATGGCTATGCCGCAATCCTTTTTCCTCCATTCTCCTCTCAAGATTTTGGGCACACACACAACACGCCCAACATGAGTTTTAAGCCACCAGGTCTGGGACTCGAACCACGGTCAACTATGTGGGAGTCCCGCAATGTGCCATCTGTTGGTTCCACCATTTGTTCTTCAATATTTAATAAATATGAAGCTAGGTGTAGGGATCCTTTATGGGAGATTTAAAATGATTAAAATGATTAATTCAATCTACGGGGTTGTCAGAAGTCATGACATTTTTTTCTGTGTGAAAACGCATCATAACTTTTCCAGCCATCCAATATATACGTTTTTAATTTTTCAGAGGTTAGTGGTAATGTCCTCGCTTTCATTCCTAATTTTCATTAAGTACATTTTTATCTTTATTTTTGGTAACTCAAGCTAAGTTTGTCAATTCCAAATCCTTTTCCTAAAACCAATTTTTGGTGGCGTGGTTGTTAAGCCAGCTAGATCCCACAGGGTTGACTGGTTCAAGTCTTAGACCAGGCTACTTGAAAAACACACCGAGTGAATGTGCATACATGCCCAATATTCTGATCACCTGATCATACCCTCAAGGGTGGGATGGAGGTGCTTTCTCACTTTTTTTCTGTCTCTCTCTGAAGAGCTCATGCACCCAATAGTAAATTAAAAACAAACGAAAAAAACAAAAAACAAGAACAAAACAACGGTTTTTGGTTTCAGATTTTTCTTCAATATTTTAGGCTTCTATCTCACTCATGTTTAACGCACTCTTTGGTCACTCTCTTCCTCTGGCTTGCCTTCAGCTTTAGTTCGCTTTCCTTTTTCATACTTTTCGTTACTTTTCCCCCTAAATTTTAAGATAGAAAAGTTAAGACTATTGATTTGAGGTTTCTCTTATTTTCCTTTTCTTTCTTTTTTTGCTATAGGGCATATGCATTTGCCAGATTGGGTGGGGGCAGGGAGAAATCATCCCCCAGAGGGTAATAGCCACCCCACAATCCCCTCTCCATTCTCCTCTGGGGATCTGCCCATACACAGACACACAGACACACACACAGACACACACACACACACACACACACACCCCTACACACACAAACACCCCTGGTGTGGTTTTCAAGACACCAGCGTAGCCGACCACATGGGCATGGGATTCAGCACCTTATCCTCCATGCCACCTGCTGGCCCTCTTCATTTACCAACATAGATACTAAAAGATAAAAATTTGCATTAAGCACTATTTTAGCTGCATTCCATACATTTGAATATGCTTTGATCTTATTTTATTTAGATTAAAACACTATCTGACTTGCCTTCTCATTTCTTCTTTTACCTAAGGGTTATTTGGAAATGTGTTGCTGTGACCATCAGATAACATACTGGTGTGTCACTGGACTCCACATGGTGACCATTGTTCGAGTCCTAGACCTAGTGGCTTACAACTCATGCTGCGTGCTTGTGAATGCGTGCCCAAAATCCCAAGAAGGAACTGCGCCATGGCCATCTCACGTGGGGGGTGATTTATCTCTTTCTGTCTCTCTGGCATGCACATGCACCCTATAGCAAAAATCTCTCTCTTAAAAAATGAATAATGTTTATTAATTATTCAGAAACATTTTCACACAACCCAAATTTCTTTTCATTGTCAATTTCTATTTAACTTCTCTGCAGTCAAAGAAACTTTGTATGATTTCAACCCTTTTCAATTTATTTAGACTGCTCTATGGCTTAGGATACAGTATGTCCTGATGAGCACTCCCTGTGTGCTCCAAAGAGCATGCCCCCTGCTGTTGTGCACAGAGTGTGACACTAGTCAATTATGACTTTTTAAAAAATGTCCAAAAAAGGAACAGACTAATTCATGTTATGTCACAGATGAAACCTCAAACAGTACTCTTAATAAAGAAGCCAGAGGGGCCAGCAGTTGGCGTAATGGCTATGTCGCTGGACTCCCATGTGGTCGACTGTGGTTCGCGTCCCAGACCCGGTGGCTTAAACTCACAGCAGGCGCATGTATTTGCGTGCCCAAGATCCCAAGAAGAGAATGGAGGGCAAGGGATTGTGGCATGGCCATTCCCCCAGGGGGGTGATTTCTCACTTTCTGTCTCTCTGTCTTTCTGGTGAGTACACGTGCCCTATAGCAAAAACTCCCCCCCCTTCCCCAAAAAAGAAGAAGCCAGACCTAAGAGATCATATACTGCACAGGTCTGTTTATATGAAATGTCCAGAAAAGACAAATTTATAAAGTCAGAAAGTAGACTATCTGGAGCTGGGGCTGGGAACGTAAGTCAATTATAAAAGGTCACGGAGGATCTTACAGGAAGAATTAAAATGTTCTATGGTGATGGCTGCACCATCAGGTAAAGTTCCTAAAAGATCATTAAATTATATGCTTAAAATGAGTAAATGTTGTAACATGTAAAATATAACTCAAAAAATACTTACATAGGCATGTACAAATTCAATACAAATAAGTGCCAATTTAAAAAATTAATTGCCAGTGTACACTTAGAATTAGGTCCTTACCTTAAACATCAATAATTAGGGACCAGCAGACGCACAATAGTTAAGTTGCTAGACTCCTACATGGCTGACAGTGGTCTGAATCCTGGACCTGGAGACTTGAAACTCACGTAGACATATGTGTGAGCATGCCTCAAATCCCAAGAGGGTAATGAAAAAACGGATTGCAGTGTGTCCATCCCCCTGGGGGGGGGGTGATTTCTGTCTCTCTGTCTCTGTATCTCTCCAGCAAGCACATGCGACTTATAGCAAAAATCTCAAAAAAAAAAAAAAAAAAAAATTGGTAATCAAATATGTCTTATCTTTTCCATTGCATTTTTTCTAAGACACTAAATTGTATTTTAGGTGACCACATAGTCCTAATGACAGTGTAATTCCAGCTACTACATTTAGAAGCAATAAAATAATCAGGAAGATGGTCACTGGTAACTCCTAATGGAATGCTTGAATCAGAACGGCAACCACAAGCAGGTGCCAGAACTCCTAGGAACTTGCTACGAGGAGCCTGACCTATCACTAAAAGTATGAACACCGGGCCTGAGTCTCTCTCAATGCCTAAACATGGAGTATAAGCCATCGGCTCCTAAGCCATCTTGCCAGAACTTGAGCCTGAATCTGAGGTTATTAGACTTAACTGTCCAGTTACTAGAAACATGTGGGTGGAGAAACCAGTAAAATGAATAGAGAAAAATGAATCACCTATATCCAGAATGTAAGACATAATATAAGAAAATGTCCAGGTTTTTTCAACACTAAGAGAAAAATTGAACAGAACAGAATTATTCTAGACGAAGACAGTACTGAGGCACATAACAAAGAAGCACCATGTTTCAACCTTGTTTGGCTCAAAATTTGAATAATCCAATGGTTAATGAGCAAGTGAGACTACTAAGGAAATAGGAAATTATTTGTCGTTTTGTTCATTTGGTTCAATGGCACTACAGCTATCCAAAAGAAAAGAAGCGTTGAGAGAAATGAACAGATTTAGAAGTGACATGACACCATGTCAGATATTTGCTTTTAGTGACCATAGCAACAAAAAGGGAGACCCAGGAGGATGAAGCAGGGAAGAGGTGGATGCTAACTAAGTCTGAAACTTTATTTACATCCTTTCTGAGCTTTGAGTATATTTGAAAACTTGCATAATACAAGTTTGTTTTGTTTTAAAGAATGAAACAAAATAATAAAATTCAGTGGCAAGAGTGCAATACTTTTTTTAGAACAAAGAAAAAAATCTTCCACACAAGTCAAATATGTACAACTTCTAGAGTCCCAGAGTAGATGGCTTACCTTCTCACAATCCTTTTGAAGGTGGTCTGAAATAATTCTTCCAGAATATGTTGTTGTTCCCGACAAAGAATTTCTATCATCAATTGCAACAACATAGGACTCTGAGATAATTCCAATGCATCCAGAAGCTAGAAAAAAAGACATCACAGCTGTCAACGTTTTCCTGGGTTATACTTCAGTTTTATTTTGAGCAGTTCTAATAAAAAATATATAGACAAAAATGACAGAATTTCAGAGACTAAGCAAATGAAACCGTATTTGTCATTTTTGCAGACAATGTATGTTTGAAAATATGTCATTTGTTAAATGCTTTTTTTACAAAAAAGGTTTGTGCATGTCTTCTCTTTATCCCAGCTTCTACAATCTCACGATGGTATGTCTTCACTGGGGTCTCCTCCCCTCACAAAGCCAGGAATCCCTGAGCCCTTCAACTTAATTAATTAATTTGCCAGAGGGAGTGCATTTATTAATTTGCTAGAGGGTGTGCATGCTCGCTAAAGACAGAGAAATAGAGAGGCAGAGAGGGAAAATGAGGAAATTCTCTCCGTCTTTTTGGGATTCCAGCATGCACGTGCACATGCACCCAGTCTGATGTTTCTCAAGGCACTGGGTCCAGGAACCACATAGTCAGCTCTGTGGGATTCAGCTGCCTTAAGCACCAGGCCACAGCTGGCCCAACCCCTTTTACTGCGGAGAAGCACGTGTCTTCTCCCCATCATCCTCACTGCACAGCAGACATCCTCACCGACTCCTCTAATGTCCTCACCATTTACATCTTCCATCCATCTTGACATCTGCATATTGTGCTAGGAGATATCTTCATCTCCCGAATAGAAAAATTACGTTTTCCTTTAAATTTTGCTTCTCCATATCTACTTTCCAAGTGCCCCCCTTTGCCCTGTTTCATGGGCACAATGCCTTCTTTCATCCTGGGAGCTATTGTGTGCAGTTTGTCATGTTCTCTCCCCGTGTTGACTCTCCTCCTTCTAAGCTCCTTTTCCTACTGGTCTGCATTGTTTTTATGTCTTTCTTCAAAAGTTGAGGGACTATTTTGCATTTCATACATTTACATTAGGATTAAGTACTAAAGATCCAACTAGAAACTGTGAATGCTACCGCCTTCAAGTGACACACTACACTGCTGGGGACAGGACATTTACCTGATACCTACATGTCACCACATCCATTCTTCTCTGGTTACAGAAAGAAAACTTACCGTCCACAGAGAGCTGAGGCAGCCACCACCCCACCAGGTCCCAGACTAGAGAACACGCTAAGGGATTATCTGCTGACACCTGCTTCCTGCTGCGCTCCTGTTGCTAAGGTTAACCTCACTCTCACGACCAAGCTGCAAACCTAACTTCTCTTTTAGAGAACAGAGGATAAAGGCACTAGCTAATGAGCACCTCTGGGACAGTTAGACCAAAGGGGACAACCCTCTAGTTTCTTCTAAAAATTCAATGTCCTGGATCAGTAAAAGGGAAGACATGTGAACTAGCTCTAGATGACAAGGTACTAGCGACATGACAGTTGGACACAATCGCTGACTACATCGTCCTTTGGAGCAAACAGCTCTACATGGGGACGTGGAGAACCGTGGGTGTGAACTAGGTGGCAGGAGATGCTAAAGGACTGCTCATTTTCTCAGGAACAGCCAACACTGTGTCCTACTCTTAGAACATGCGTACTAAACTACCAAGAAATAATGCATCATATGTATGAAACGCAATGGAAAACGTCCAGGCAGAACAAAGACATACAGGTGCATGCATGTGCGTGCTCCTGCACATGCGTGGACACACATGGAGATAAAACAAACAGGAAAAACGCTACTAACTGCTGAATGCAGGAAAGGGTTCTGTGGATGCTCATTTCACTACTCCGCCAACCTTTCTATACAGTCAAAAAATGGCATAAAAAGGATGAGGAGCAGAGAACCTGTGGATGGAGCTGGTGGCTTCCTCACAGAGCAGTTACGGCTGCCATGGACAGGGAGTAGGATGAAGATGCAGTGTTTTTCCCAGCCAGCCCCGACCCAACAGCTAGACCAC